CTTTCCTTCCCCTTCCGTCGTGCTGGTCTCTTCCTCTGTCGTCGAGAGGAAAGAAGAAGAACGAAAAGAAAAAGAAAAAAAAATGTGAAAAAGAATGCGAAGCGCTGGAAATCCGATACAAGGAGATGGTTAGAAACCCGCATATGCCCTCTTCATCCTTGTGTATCTATCCTATATCCCGTGTGCGAACTGCCTCCGTTCCGGTTCCATTCCGCTCGGCATATCCGGCTCCGCCTCTGCCCATGTCTGGCCGCATGACCTGACGCCTCCCCCTTCTCTTGTGATCCCGAATCACCCCTGTCACTGTGACCGCGGCTCCAACGACAAAGCTCGCGCAGAACGACGTCCAAGTCATTCGCGCATCGTGGGTCTCTCCGAATCTCGAAGGGCGTGCATATAAAAGGTCGAGAAAGGCGGAGAGGAGAGAGGAACAACGCAAACGTAATGAAGATTGAGAATACGGGGAGAGAGAGAGAGAGAGAAGGCCAGGACATGGTGATACTTCGGCGTAATTGATCAGGACTGGAGTATTTTTGACAGGCTAGGCAGCGCATCGACGACTGGTTTGGCAGTGATTATCTCGGGGGCCGAGCGCTGTGGTGTTCGATTCAGCAGGATATCACAAAACTGATTCTGCAATCCCTTGCCATTGCCGGCGACCGACACGGGAAGTGAAGAACGCTGGTTCTGGGTATCACTATGATTTGGACGCTATTTAAGAGTCGCAACAGAGCTATAAACTCGCGGGGACAGGAAGACCCGCCTGACTCAAGCTCTGCTTGAAGGTCTCTACGTCCCTTACGGGGTCAAAGTAAGGGTGTGCTTGGGCCTCCTTGGCCGTGAGACGCTCCTACGGAAACGGAATGTCAGAATGGGAAAACGCCCTACGGTGGAAATGGTTCGAACTGAGCCAAAAAAGAACAAAAAAACAATAAAAAATTTACAAACTCACCTGATGGTCGTATCGCAGCAGCTTGTCGAGAAAGTCGAGAGCCTCATTGCTGACGAAACGCTGGTTGTCCGAGTTCACGAAGCTGAGCCACGTCTTCTTTGGGAACCGGCCGAGGATATCGTCGTACTGGGCGTCCAGCTCGATCTCGTACCGGTCAAGGTAGTCAAAGAGATCATCAGTGCCAAGGACCTTGGCAATCTTGACGAGCTGGTCCGAGTTGCTGTTTCCGTGGAAGAACGGCTCCTTCCTGAAGATCATGGATGCGAACATGGCGCCGAGACTCCACATGTCGAGACTGTAGTCGTACTCCTGGAAATCGACCAACAGTTCAGGCCCCTTGAAATAGCGAGAGGCTACCCGAACGTTGTACTCAGTGCCGGGATGGTAGAATTCGGCGAGACCCCAATCAATGAGGCGAAGCTTGGGACATGGTCAGCCACGAAGAAGACGTCTCGAGGGGTTGACTATGCGCACCTTCCTGTTCTCATGATCGATCATAACGTTGTGAGGTTTCACATCGCGGTGCATAATGCCCTTGCTGTGACAGTAGTCAAGCGCCTTGAGGAGTTCGTTGATATAGTACCGAACATCGAGGTCGTTGAACTTTGGGTAGAGGCTTCGGAAGTCGGTATTATTGACGTACTCGAAGATCAGTGACGGTGTTTTACTCTGTTGGGTACAAAAAACCAGTCAGTGTCGGTATGTAAAAGAAAGAAGAAAAAGGAAGAAAAAAAAACAGAGAGAAAAACACAAAAGGAGAGCCGCGCTTCCCATACCTGACTGTCGCGAACCACATCCAGCAACGCCACGATGTTGGGCCCACCCGCAAGGTTCTGCAAGATCTTGATCTCACGCTTGATCTTCTTCTTCTTGACGGGCTTGAGGACTTTGACGACACATTTCTGGTAGTTAACCACGTTGATACCCTCAAAGACCTCCGAATATTTTCCTCGGCCTGTGCCGTCCTCGCATGTTAATACCACTTTGACCCGTCGAGTCTTTCGAAAAAGAAAAAAAGAAAAAGAACAAAAAAACTGTTGTCCGCATGGAGGGAAAAAGGAGACATCGGGAGAAGGGGACGGTAGGACGGTAGCGGGGATCGTTTTATCGTTTTCGCCAAGGCAAGGCGAAAGCCTACATCGTGACTACCACGGAAGAATGAATGTTGGAGAGAGACGTTCACGTACCAATCTTCCGCACAACCTCGTAGTTCTCTAGGACGCCCCAGCCTATGTGGGAGTAGTATGCGGTCAGCCCAAAAGAACACAACAGAGCAGCAAAAATAGAATAGATAACCGAACGGGGCGAGGCGAGCACGAACTGATGTTGACGCTATCATAATCCCAGTAACTGCGGGGCATGGTCTGGTTGACGTCCGCATAGACCCGCGCCATGTTGGGCTGTTGTCGCCTCGCGAATACGCGCACAGGACTGCGGTCGGGATCGTGTTGAAACGTTGTGCCCTGTGGTCCTAAATGATACTGCGATAGGTATGCGGGATGTGTCGGCGCGGAGGTTGAAAGGGGGAAGAGGCGGACGTGGATTGGCGGTTCCACAGAGGAAGGGAAGGCTAAGTAGTCATGTCCGAAGAGGCGGGTGAAGGAGGTACGAAGCACGAAGTACAAAGTACGTTGTAATTACGTTGTACGAAAGTACAAGCACAGGTAAATCAAGGTGGGATGTCAAAAACAGGGCCTTACACCGCTTGCGATTGGGGAACTCGAGTCGGGGAGCTTATCGCTTATCACCCGGGTGACACAAGACGGGGTAGCTCAACGATATAACAGGTAAGGTAATGAGGGAGGTCAGGAAAACAAGAAAAATAAACATTCAATCAAAATACAAACAAAAACAATCAAGCGAAAATAAATGAAAATAAATGGAAATAGGGACGTAGGACATTTGTAGCTTTCCGTTATTAGCGCAGCTTAAGAGTCACGATGTGTGAGACAAACGCAAGGGGCACTCAAAAAGCAAGCAATACGGACCGTCAAACTCAGTCAGCAGCATAGGATTAGGATTAGGATACCCACAAGTCGAGACATGCACCGTATGCCTTATATTGGTGTCTCTATGCGTTACAGAGAATCCCATCTCATCAACGCGCCTCTCGCAGCCATGCCACGCCTGGCCCTCCTGCCTTGCAACCCCCCTGTCGCTGTATACAAACACCACGATTTATACAAACACACAATGGTGGGAGGATGAGAGTGCGGACCAAACATCCATCACTCCACCCAATGTCAAGCCTTCGCCCCTCGACAGCGCCTACACATCCACCCGACGGGCAGGGTAGGTATTCGCTGCAGAGAGGCCGGCAATGACGCCCTGTCCAACCCGCTCCCCTCGAACAGCGCCTACGCGTCCGCCCAACGGGGCAGGGTAGGTATTCGCTGCGAGGGCCGGCGGTGACATTCACCCCCATATCCCCCGGGTGGCCTTTTCCTCCGCCTTGGCCCGTCGCCAAAGTGCTGTGCTGTTTCCACCCAGCCGCGAAAATGAGGCTGTGCTGAGCTGGCTTCCACATCGACAGCAGGCCACCCTCCCGTCGGCCGCTAGCCACGAAGCGCCTCAGCAAAGTCCCAGAAGGGCCAGGTGCGTTTTCGGCCTGCCCTCGGGCGCAAAAGCAAACCCCAACGATAGCCCCAGCTGTCTCCCCAAAGGGAGAGGCCAGTATTCCTTCGGCCTCGAGGGTTGCCTGCAGCGGCTGACATGTATACCTTCCACCACCCCAAGCGACCTGGCATACATCCTTCGCCTGCCTCTCCGCAAAACCATCTCGTCGTCTCCTCCAGATCCCTTTCCGAGCCTCCCATACCCCGCGTACCACATCCTCACATTCCTCGCAGCATAAACCCAATATTTCCCAGTCTATCCTTTCTTCTTTTCGTCATCTCCTCCTTTTTTTTTCTCATTTGTTTTTGCTTCCCTGGTCGGGGACAGCAGCATCCTAGAAAAAAGCAAATGTCAGCAATGCTGCGTCTAGCGCCGAAAGTGACCGGTGAAAATGAGAGAGAAGAATGGTGCACTCAGAGAGAAGATTATTGCTCATCACGTCCAGACTATCCAGAGGCAAAACCACGACAGAAGCCGCCGAGTCGCCTCTTTCAAGCCATGTAGGATCGGACTAAGGATGACGATACAAAAGGTTTCATCGTCGCGCAAAGACACGTGGGTGTCTAGAGTAGGGAAAGTACGAAAGCAGTTTGGAAAGTACACGTACCAGTTGCAGTACTGTTTCGAGCATACCACGCCTCTCGGGCCATTGCTCAGAACATTACTGTGAGCTGTGAATAGAGGCGAGCGTCGTGACGGGCCTCGCGCCTCAATCAGTCTTCGGGAGACTTCCGACGCCGAGACCGGGGGTCGCATGAGGGATCAATGCAGATGCATCTAGCGCCGATGACGCCGTTGTGCGAACGGTGTTTGGTGAGAACAAGGACATCCTTTCAGTCGTATTCGAGCGTGTCAAGGCCGGTCTCGACGACATCCCACGTTCGCTTGCGCAGGTCTGGTTTCGGCTCGGACGGCCGGCTTTTCCCCTTCTTGTTTTTCTTCTTCTTTTTCTGGGAGGAAGAGGCTCCCGGCTGGTTTGCGTGTGTTGCCGCCGTGTCGCGCTCTGCGACGATGCACTCGCCTTCTTCGTCCTCGGGATTACCAGGTTCGGATAAAAAACCGGCCTCTTTTCTTCCCTTGTCCCGGCGGAGGGCCTGCAACTCCGAGTGCCGAAACATGGCAATTTGTTCATCGGTCAAGGTGCGTTTAACGCCATCTTCGTAATAGCCCAGGCCGTCGTCATCTTCATCGGCAAGGGCAGCGTCCTGTTGGTGGTAATCATGGTGTGCTTGTCCAGAGGATGCAGAGGCGAAAAAGTCCATGGAGAAGGAGCGGACAGCCCCCTCGGAGAAGTGCATTTCATGGAATGCGGTTAGTTCGGACTAATGTGCGTTAGCGATGGTTTTTTTATGCTTGCTGGACGAAATATTAAACAAAAACTCACGTTGCTAATCTGAGGCACTGGAAAGGATAATGTCCGTGCGTAGCTGCCTTGCATTGGCATGTCTGCAGAAAGTGGCATGTTGGGATAGGTTTGGCTTCGTGCTTCGTGAGTAGCCAGGTGTCCTTCTGTCGGACCCTTTGTTATGTCGGGCAGTTTGCTGAAGAAGAAAAGATGGAGATGATGGAAGAGGTGAGAGGATGGAGGTGGAGAGAGACGTGAGAAGCAAGTGCAAACTGCCAATTTCCCAGTGCACGGTAATTACATAGGCTTGGGTCACGGTCACGTGCACCGCGCCCATACCAAACGAAAACAACTCGCGACCATCGGTTTGAGAGAGTGGGTGAGGGTGATAACGTGGTTATGGAATCCGAATGGATTAAGGCTGTTTGTTCAGCGCAGAGCAAATATCGGGTCCTAGGATTGGCTTAGAAGCGCAAGTGCACTTTGGAAAGCTCGAAGAACCTCGGTCACTGGGAGACGACTGGTCAGCAGGGACATTGACATCATCGCTAGAACGAGAGAAGCAATCCAACTCACTATGCTGTTCGCGTTGGGCCATGGTCTGTTCGGAAAGATTGACAAATCGTTGCCGAGTTTGTAGGCGCTTGACGGCTCGTTCGCTATCATGGGCGCTGGATGCCGACGACCAAACATTGAAATACTGTTCCCCCGCTTCAAAGTTAGTTGGGCGAGTTCCCCGCCGAGAACAGAACAGAACAAGGCGGCGGCCCACTGACCTTGACGAGCTCGTCAAACTGCTTCATGAGCTCTTGTTCGTGACCGTCGGCATCGACCAGAGCCTTGGTGTACCGTGCCTCGAACTCTTCCCAGTCGAAAGATGCAAAATGACCCGGCGTGCCAGGCCCGTTGGCCTGAAGCTGTTCAGTTGCCAGTTGCTGATCTGGATTAGGCTCCGGAGTCTTGACTGTTTGGTTGAGGCCGTTGCCGCCGTCTTGAGAATGAGCCCCCGTGTCGCTCATGATGAGAATGGGCAAGCCCAGGAAGAGTGACAAGAGTGCAACACGTTCAACGCCCCCACGCTGATTGTGTCACGTCAAATGTAGGCGAGATGGCCGAGTTGCGAGTTGGAAGAAGTAGAGAATGGTCGTCTGAGTCGGCCTGATAGAATGAGTTTCGTGGGTGCCCAAGTGCGAGCGAGTGAGATGGATTGATGGGCGTGTTTGTTGTTTGGTTGGCAAGTAAGGTAGAGTGCCAGTGCCCTGTGTGTGTGGCTTCCCAAGTGGAAGATGGCTGGTCGCAAAAACAAAAGCCAAGCAAAAGCTTCAGGCAGAACCGTACTAACGTACCTTGGTACTTCGTACTTCCCAGAAATACGAGGACTGGGTACCTGCCATCAGCATAAAGGCCTTGTATTCGCCCCTCCATCCCGCCCCCAGCCTTCCTACTTCCACTTCCAGTGCTGATACAGGAGATGCCTGGTGCAATGTGATGTCAAGTGCACTTCGTTGTACTTCGCTGTACTTCGTGGTACTTCGTCATGTCCGCCTCCACAAGGCAAACCAGGTACAGTCCATTTGTACCATGTGATTCTGTGGTGACTTTGCGACGACCATCTGACCAAACCAGAAGCCAGGAAAGATCCCTGGTGCCTGCGTGTTTCTTCTCTTTTCTTTCTTTTCTTTTCTTTCGTTCGTTTCTCTCGGACTCCTCTCGTCTTTGCGAAAGCATTCAGTGAGCGAGAGTTCTTCCCTCATTAAGCATCGAGTCCCCGAAATCGCCCCCACGATTTCAGTCCATCTCAGCCGCCTCCTCTCAAAGGTACGCTCACAACTCGAGAGAGTTGTTCAAGTGACCACAATGAACTGCGATATTTGCAGCCGTTCATACGACACGGTCCGGCTACCCTTCCTCTGCCCGGTAGACGCGAGGAACCACTGCTATGACGGACGTCTCAAGCACGCGACGCTGCTTCTCCAAAACGAGACCCTTCAGAAGCAGATCAGCAAGTTGGCCGAGGATCAGACCACCGACGACAAGTTCATCGCCAAGCGAGATGCCGTCTCGGAAACACGTGCGGCCCAAGACAGGACGAGCCGCATCATCGAACAAGCCGACAAGCTGCGACACCACATCGCCGCCGCCCGGGAGGAGATGGAGGACCGCAAGGCCGCCATCGCCCGTCGGAGAAGCGATCTGGCCTCCGCGACCAACGGTCTCGCCGCGAGGAGAGCAAGGCAGCTGGACGACGTGGAGAGGTCGATCCAGGCCGCCAAGTTCAAGTGGAACCGCAACGCCGACGCCATGGCCAAGACCCGTGCCTTTTTGTGTCTGGAGGCCGCCCGGCTTTTCGGCTTGCGCCGCGTCAAGACCGGCTCTTCGTCGTCCTCGCGGTACCAATACAAGATCGGAGGAGTAGACATCTTTGATCTCGAGTCGATGCACGGTATGTCGGACTTCATGTGTGGTTGTGCTGAAATGAAATCCCCCGCCCCGAAACTTCCCCCAAGAATCGTGTGGAACTGACATGCCATCTCGTCGGTAGCTGCGTCCCCCGAACAGCTGTCGACATCTCTAGCGAACGTCGCTCACATCCTCGCCTTGGCCGCACATTATCTCTCGTTGCGGCTTCCGGCGGAACCGACGTTGCCTCACTGCGACTATCCGCGGCCGACCATCTTCACGCTCGCCTCGTCGTATCAGCACGGAAAAGTCCCTTTCCCCGGCAGCGCCGCCATTCCCGGTTTCGGTGCAGACTACGACCTCGCCCAGCACCTGCCCGTGCCGAGACCTCGCCCGTTGTACGTCGACAAAGCTCTGCCCGCGCTGGCAAAGGAGGACCCGTCCGTGTATTCGTTGTTCCTCGAAGGCGTGACGCTCCTCGCGTATGATGTCGCGTGGGTCTGTAACACCCAGGGCGTCTCCGTAGGCGACAGGACCTCCTTCGACGACGTCTGCCGCATGGGCCGCAATCTGTACACCCTGCTCATCGGCCAGCAAATCCACGGTGCCCAGGCGGCAAGGACATATGCACCGCCAACCATGGTCGTGGGGAAATCGGAAGCCGTCGACCACCAAGAAGAGATCGGCCAAGCTGCCTCGCTCATGGGTCGCTACTCGCACGGAGCTGCCCACACCTTCCTCTGTGCTGCAGACGGTATTGATTTCGCCCGGAGCTTCAAGTTGCCTAACCCCCTTAAGTTGGTGGACAGGCTGAAGAGGAAGCTCGTGAGTGAAGTCGCCATCCCGGAATGGGAGGTGTTGGAGGAGGATGAGTGGGCTGGTGGCGATGACGCACTTGACGGTGGCAGCGTCGTCAACGTGGCTGGGCCGGTGTCGAGACAAGAAGGGGAAACCAAAACAAGCAAAACAGACAACGTTCCCGCGTCGTCTCAAAGAGGACCGCGCTCTGGTTCTGGTTCTGGTACAAGCGGGTGGACCAAGGTGAAGAGTCGATGAGAGCATCATCCGCCCAACGGTAAAGAGAGAAAGAGCACGACATCTCGGCTGAGTTCTCGTGTGATGGCGGTAAGAATGCAGGCTGATAAGAACCTGATGCTGATGTGGTTCAATACTCCGACAGGTCCTGATAAAAATAGCGAAACCCCTTGCATTCCTCTTTTTTTTTTTTGTTGGTTTCTCGTTTTGCTTTTTTTTTTGTTGCTTTTTTTTTTCCTTTTTCCCCCCGCTCTCCCAGAGTCCCTTATAAATGGGATTCGTCGCGCCCATGGAGGTAAAGGGCGGATCAAGAAGACATCGGCCGAAGCGTTGCCCTCGGGGCCGGACCGGACGTTACCGTCACCCCGGCTCGGAAGCCAGCCACTTCCCGCCACCTCTCCAGCAACGACACGCAGTCTTCCTCGTAGAAGATCCCGGCGTTGACCAGCTCCTCCATCATGTCGTCCATCCAACTGATGGCCGCCGTATCGAACTGCTTGCGGGTAGGGTTGGACAGGATGTCCCACTCCCTCGCGAAACGCCGCCACACCTGCGCCGCGCGTTCCACGGCCTTTTCCCGCGTCGCGTCCGGATACTCGCCCGGAACCACCTGATAGAAGAGCGTACGAGTGAGATCCCGAACGCGTCTCTCGACCTCGTCGTCCCTCATCACGGTGTCTCTCGACCTCGTCGTCCCTCATCACGGTGTCTTCCTCCTCGGACACCCGGTCCTTGGTGCGTTTCTCCTTCCTGTAGGTGTTCCGGGGCTCCTTGCGGGCGGTCTGTCCCTTCCCGTAGGTGTTCCCGGGCTCCTTGCGGGCGGTCCGTCCCTGCGCCAGCACCTTGCGCTGCGCCTCCTCGTACTGTTCCTTCCGAGCCTGCTCTGCAGCTTCCATCTCCCTCCTGGCCTGTTCGCGTTGCTCGGCTGTGGCAGGGGTGCCGCGCAGCCTCCGCATAGGGCGGTTGTTGTTAGACCTGAACTGGAACACGGGCTCCGGCGCGAGAGAAGATGTCGCCGGGGGGTCAGGTTGCTGTTTGCTGGGCTCGGAGGTTGCGGATCCGGATCCGGATGGGAGTACTGGGCGCTCCGCGGGAGGAGCGGGAGGAGGTCGACTCGGAGCCGGGGCCGGCGCACCACCCATAGGAGAAGGCGAGTCTTCTGTCGTTTCCTCAGCCACACGCTTGGGCGCGGGCGTTGCCGGCTCAAGGGAGGCTTCCCGAACCGGAGAAGACTTGCCATTAGGAGAAAGGGAATCTTCCCTTCTCAGGGCTTCGACTCGGCCAGAACCAACCTTGCACTGGCGCTTCTGAAGATCAGCGCGAGAGGCGCATAGGGAGCTGGTCTTTGGCCGTCTGACAATCTTCTTCTGGGATCCAGCAGGAGAAGATGCCACCGTCGATGGCGAGTCGACGGGCCCTGACCCCGTTGCTTTGCCCTGGGGCGTCTGCAACGGTGGAGTCGGGTCGGGCGACTTCTGGCGAGCCGGCTTAGGCGTCTGGCAATCCGAGGGAGCGGCAGTACCGGGCGTAGAAGGAAGAGCGATAGGCGTACGAGGATGAGCAGGAGGGGGGGTAGGGGGAAGCCGGGGGCGAGGGCGGGTGGTACTTGTAGCAGCCGGAACCGTATATTTCGGAACCGGTGCCGCATCCTTCGGAGCCGAGACCGTGTTATGATTGGAACAAGTAGGAGCCGGGCGTTGAGGAGCCGGAGAGGCTGGGAGAGCAATGTCGTTCTTCGCGGGAACGACTTCCGTCACCTGCGAGGTAACCGGCTTGGTGACCGGGTGGTCGCTTTCCATTGAGAACTCGGCCTTCACAGCGCTCAGCCAATCCCCATATCTTTGGCGACGGCGACGGAGCCGGGAACCCTTGAGCGGTTCTTCGAACAACTCGGCCGATTCGCGGTGGCAGCGGATCTTGAGAAAAGCGGTTACCACCTCAGCTGGAGAGAGCTTCTCCTCCTCCTCCTCCTCCTCCTCCTTTTTCGGGCGGGGTTGGGGACTGGGCCTTGAAGGCTGGGCTGGCGCGTGAAGGGGGGCATCTCCCATTTCTGTGTCGAGGGCTGGCTTTGCCTGTCCAATAGCCGGGGAAGGCTGCCGGGGCGGGTCGGTCATGTTTACTTCCTTTACTTTCGTTGCCTGGGGGGGAGGTGGATTCTGGATCAATGGCCCGAATGTGGGAGCATCCAGCATATCGACTTCCTCGTTGTCGTTGCTGGCAATGGCGGCAGGTTTCTTGTTGCGAGGCGTACCGGGAGGCGTCGCGTCGTAGATCTCCGTGTCATCCGAGGAGGCAGGTTGACTAGTCGGAGGGCCGCCCTGGCTAAACTGGGGCTTGTCGACGACGTTTTGGACTGGCCTAGTGATTAGACGAATCCTAGGCTTGGACAGGGCAGGGACTCGGAGAGCCGGAATGGAGGTTGGTGTGAAGTTGAAAACCGGCTTGACCGCTTCCTCCCTTGGGGGGCCGCCGCCAGTGAAGACCACGCGATTTGAGTTAGGAAGCTGAGCCGGCACGGGATCGACTTGCTTAGACATAGCCGAGTCGGCAACTGGATTCTCAGCCGTCACCTCTTCCTGCCGAGGGACGACATGCTCCTCCTCCTTCAGAAGAACGGGGACCTTCTCCATGGGAACTTGGACTTTCGTTTCCTCAGTTGCCCGAACACTGGGGACCGTCACCAACGACTCGGAGCGGTTCTGCGAGTCACCAGCATCGTCCGTGGCCACTTCCTTGCTTGCCGAAGCCGCGGGAGTGACGGCCCTGACGGGGCACTCCGCTGCCCTTTCCGGCTTCATCTCTTGATGACGGGGCTTGATGTCGATAGACGGGATGAGGGAAAGCGTGAGCTTGGGCTCGGGCTTGACAGGCTTTGTCTCGAGGTGAAGGGGCTTGGTGTCGACAGATACAATGGGAAAAAGAGTGAATTTGGCCTTGGGCTCGGCGGGCTTCATCTCTTGGCGAGGGGGCTTGGTGTCGACAACAGGTATGATGTGGGAAAGAGCGAGTTTGAGTTTGGCCTTGGGCTCGGCGGACTCCATCTCTTGATGAGAGGGCTTGATGTCAGCAACGGACGTGATGGGCGACAGAGTGAGGTTGGCCTTGGTCTTGGCGGACTTCATCTCTTGATGAGGAGGTTTGATGTCGACAACGGACATAATGGGGGAAATCGTGAGGTTGAGCTCGGGCTTGGGGGGGAGAAGGAGACTGCCCCAAGACGGGGTGAGAGGTCGTGGGTGCTCAATCGAACCAGTGGCGGTCAGTCCGGTCGGGGATTGATGGATGCCAAACTGCTTTCGCAGTCGTTCCGTCTTGCTGAGACCCTTGGTCACCGGCGGCGTGGTCACACTCTGGCGGCTCTCCTCTCTCTCGACGGTGAGTGGGTGGTAACTTTTCTTCATCAAGTCCAGGGTCCTTCTCAGCTTGACGATTTCGATCTGGAGGTTGGCGATGTCTGCTGCGGCTACGACATGTTGTCGGTTCTCTTCTCTCTCGACCAGAAGCAGATCAAGGCCCTCTTTTAGGGAGTTCTGGCTCATCATCATGATGGCGATTTCGGTCCGGAGGCTTTCGACCTCTTTCAAGTTGTCCTTGACCAGCCGCTCGAGCTCACACTCTCTGGCGGGCTTCGGTCCGGGGGTATCGTCGACTTGGTCTGGATCACCAGAGCCAACTTCCTGATCCGGTACCGGGGTCTTGGTCTTGGTCCCCTCTACTGTTACAACGGCGGCCTTATCGGCCGGTTGGGCGGCAGGCTCGGCGACGGGTCCGGGTTCGGGTCCGGGTCCGCTCGCCTGGCCGGGGATTGTCTCTTCAAGTCCAGGGAATGTGCCTGGCAAATGGGCGGGCTTGTCTCGCAGAAAGTCCAAACAGAAACCCGACCTCCACGACCAGATCCCGAGGACCAGGTGGTAGCAGACAGTCAGGATCCCTTCCATTGGCGTCCGGTCCCAGAGGATCCATCGGCTTTTTGGCCATCCGTAGTCCCAAACAAGTGCGCCCACATGGGGGAGAACGGTCCATCTAGGGCACCATTCTATCAAGTTCAATAGCCAGACTGTGACCCAGAAGCTATTGTAATTGCAATATAAGTCAGTTTCAACCAGCTCAAGGCAGCAACGAGAGGTACCACAGGCAGCAGGAAAATAGGGGCCCAGGAACACTTACGAGCCACTTTCATAGTCATAGATCAACTCGTAACCTGGGTTGACAAAGTCCAGGCCGGTAGCTTCCTTAATCAGGTCCTCGATAATCTCGACGACGAGGCGAACAATTATGCCGCCGGAGTGAAGCAGCAGCAGCAAGGACAAGGACGGGAGCAACCACTGGGGCCGGAAACGGGGCACCGTAGCCAGCACGGAGGCGGCGTAGGCGAGGTAGAGACTATTCCGAGCCACGCTATCCAGGGTGCTGAATTCTTCGGCCGCCACTTTTCCGACGCAATAGATCGTCGAGATGGTGCTTGTCGAGAGGTGGCAAGCCTCCTTGGCGAGGGCCGGTACGAGTTGTTCGTAATACTCGAGCGCGCCCACGAACACGGCGATGGCGGCGACGAGGGCGAGCGAGTAGATCTCGACGCACGTTATCTTGATGTTGAGGATGTCCATTTTGATGATGAGGATGAGATGAATCAGATGATGGATCAAAATGGATAAAAGGGATGGAAAGGAGATGGGGAAACGCCTCTGCTGAGGGACTCTTTTGATGGATCGTGATGCTTGATAGGCACAAAAAAAGTGTGAACAGAGGTGGTGAAGGGAGGAAAGGTAGGAAGTTGAACCTCAGAGGCAAGAGCTTTTTTATCTGTTTGTTTAGGGGTTGCCTGGTCGCGGTCGCTTAGTAGGTAACCATATCCGGCACTTGCCTCGTCTGTGATATCAAGGTGAGAGGGCGAGAGTGTGAGAGTGGCTTGAGTTAAAGGCAAGAGCCGGTTGACAGGGCAGGTGCGGTTGCGTACTTGACGACTACCCTCTTTCCACTTTGGTCAAGTACGCTACTACTTGCCCTCAAAGGGAGGACCTATATGGCTCTTACTACCTTTTCTGATTAGAATAATCCATGATGGAAGTAAGATGCATGGCAGAATTGTAAAATGAGTTTCTTGATATGAGGTTAAAATTATATTTACAGAGCTCCCTAGAGTTTCCATGGCTTGTTGAAACTTCATGTTGCTTATGGTGATGGCAAGAGTATGAAGAGTGGTTCCGAGGATTAGGTTAGTCTGTAAAACTATATCGTTTACCTTTATATTATGCAAATCGAGTATCTATAAGGTAGATAATAGAATTCCTATGCCATGACACAAGATGTTGATGTTGGCCGCGGGGGGTGAGGGTCTCCTTTCTTTCAATCATTACTTGTTAGACTTGATACGACAACTCCTTGAGTCCTTGCAGCTGGAGATCTAGAGAGCGGAAACAGAGCCGGGAAGCATAGGTAATTTGTTCATAGACTTAAGTGTGGGGTGCCCTTTTGAGACCTTTTTTTCATCGTACAATACGAATACACGAAATGATACCGCATGATGAATCATGAAGCAATAACACTAAAGAATAAAAAGATAGCGGATTGCCCCTGAAAACCCGCCATGCCAAGGTGTCATCCCGCAATAATATTAATATTCCTAAGACCCCATTAAGTTGTTCGTCAAGGCATAAAAAGCATAATGGTATCAAACAAGCCCTAAACCACCCAGCCCGAACCCTTGCCAAGGCATGCAGCCTAACCCATCCCATATCCTCTATTTCCTGCCTCGGGCGAGCAGTCTCTCATGAAGATCAACAAGCACGTCACACCAAGAGGGCGCACCTTCGCCAACAGGCCTAACCATCTCACCCAAATGCGTCGAAAGAAACTCGGACATCTTCCCCGCATTGAACGTCTCCCCGTACACCACTCTCGCCTGGGGATGAAGAGAAAACTCCACCCCGTCGGGCCGGCTGGCAGCCTGCACGTGAAGAGAGACCTCTACTCTAGTCTCGATGGGGACCAGGAGAAGTGAGGAGCAGATGGCAATCGACGAGTCGGAAGTCCGGACGACCGTTGTCGGGAACGTGGTGTTGATCCTCCGGATTTGGCTCCGAGTGGAGACCGCCAAGTCCCACGACGTCCGGACCGTGCGGAGAAGGTCCGGGATTTTAGTGGGGCTCTGCGGGAGTGCGCGCACGTGATCTCGGATGCATTGCAGGAAAAATTCCGACTCGGCTGTCGAAGGCTTCGAAGGCTCCGCGCCCGTCTCGCGGTTCGACGCGACATACCACAAATCGATCTGCGCGTTTTTATGGTCTCGCTGGAGGGAACTGACGTTGAACACGAGCTCAATGTCCCGCTTGTAGGCCATGGAGATTGTCGTTCCAGAAGTACCAGTGATGGCCCAGCCGTACTGTTTCTCCATCTCGTCCACTCGCTCTGCGAAACAATGAACACGTTAGCGCTGGATATACTCTAAGGGGGAGAGCAAGGGGAAAGGGCTCCATACCTTGCAGGGAAATAATCTCGCCCGTCGACCATCCTCGGCACTCCTCGCGAATCTTCTCCGATTCTCGAATATCCGCGAGGCACTCGTTCTTCCGCGCACTCAGTTGTTCGACATCCTCCTCCGACTCCTGCAGCTGTTGACGAAGCTCGCGAACCCGTCGCCTCTTCTCCTCCACATCCTCATCGACCTTGCGCAGCTGCGCCCGCACCGCCTCGAGCTCCGCAGGGTCGCTATCCGCCAAGTCCCGCGCCACCGCCTCGAGGTCGCCCCGCTCCTCAGCCAACTCCTCGAACCGGGCCACGAGCCCCGGGACCACGGACGCCAGGAGCTTCTCCTGCTGCCGGAAGAGCTGCGCGTCGGCGCCCATGCCCTCGGCGATCCGCTGGAGGCCCTCCCGGAGCCCCTCCTGGAGCGCCGTGCGCCAGTCGTACCACATCGCCTTGCTCTCCAGCCGCGCGTGCGTCTTGCTGTTCTTGAACTGGTTGTCCAGCACGCTCTTGAACTCGGCCGCCGCCGACATGTACTCCCGGAAGAGCGGCGGGTTGTCCTCCAACGTCTCCGCCTCGATCTCGCGCACGATCCGCCGGCCCTCCGAGATGTACTTCTTCAGCTCGCGGCAGGAGTGCTGGTAGAGCTCCAGCATCGGCACCGTGCACGCCCCGGCCACCACGCACCGCTCCAGCGGGAAGTGGTCCTCGCCTTCCGGGATGCCGTCCTTGAGCGCATCCGGCGCCTGCGTGTGCCTCCGCTTCGTTGTGGTGAGCTCCATAAACCGAATCGATGTCATGTTGAGGAAGTCTTGGAGGTGGATCCGGTCGCCGGCGGGATGACCACCTTTCAATGAGTGCTTGCTGCTACTCGTCTGACTGCGATGGGAATCCACTGGCTGCGTAGAGGCGTCATCCTCGCCGTAGTGGGGATGGCCTCGACCTTGTGAGGAACCCACAGCGCCGCCCTCCTTCTCAGGCGATGCAACGGGACTGGGTGTCGTCCCTCTTCGCGTCTCAATGCCCTGGCCACGGTGTTGCGAGGGCCGTGCGACCCGCCGACCCGTGGTTTCTGCCATGCTTGGTGGCTGCTGAAGCTTCACGTTCTTAACAGGGCTGCCTTGGTGACCCTTCAACCTCTTCACGCCGTCCATTTCCTCTGCTTCGTCCTCTTCGTCGAGCTCAGCTGGTCGCTTGCCTAGAAGTCCCATTGCGCTGCCCACGTGGAGACTCTTGCGGCCCCTCAAGGGCTTCTTTTTCGGACTCATGCTCTCAATCATATCTTTGAGATTGAGAGTCCCGTCTCCGTCGTCCTTGGGATCGCCTTCGTTTCGATTACGGCTTCTGCTGTCCGGTGCAACGCCGTGATCCAGTTCGGTCCCCTCTTCCATTTCGCGAGGATCCGCGAAAGTCACCCCACGCGAAGTACCGGGGACGAAGCTCTCGGCGGTTTCGCCAATAGACCCTCTTCTGTCAAAAATGGCTGCTACACGAGGAGATCCCAAGCCGGGCTTGTCGGCCCCCACACCTGAGTGTCTCCGCGGTTGCGGCGTCAGAACCACGGTAGGGGTCCTGGTTCCCGTGTTTGGATCATCCCGGAAAATATCAGAGGCTTTGTTCGCCGTCTTTCTTGGTGAGGGGGTCGCTGGCTTGCCATCGGGCAGTTTTGTGCGCCCGCCGCTGGCTCTGGTTCGAGACGGAGACGTTCTCGTTGGTGAGGAATGTTCCCTGGAGGGTGATTGGGACCCTGTTCTTCTCGTCGGCGACCGCGCGTCCGTTCGAGCTCGAGAAGAGAAAGTGGATCCGACGGGGCTCGGTGTTCCCTTGAAAGGAGACGACTCCGGAGTCGGGGAACGTCGCTGGGCTAAACTGCGTCGGAGGCCAGCGCCTCTGAAGGGATTCTGAGCTGGGCTTTGTTGGCCCGCAGTATGCGACGCCGGTCTGGCGGCGGGCGCAATGCTTCTCGTTGGTGACTTGGACTCGATCGCCGTAGACTTCGATGGGGGGTCTGGCCTGTCGACTTCCGCTTCCATAAACTTCTTTGCCGCGACACGAGACTCCGGAGTAGAAGTACCCTTAATGATGCCCCCTATAGCCGTTGTCATCTCCATACCCATGGTCGCCTCGCCCTCGTCATCGACGGTGGCAGAAGGGAGGATGCGGCCAACGGCAGTGGTCTTATCCATGCCCATTGTTGCTTCATCCTCGTTGTTGTCGGTGCCGGCTGCGGGCAGTATTTTGCCAACGGCGACAGTCATGTCCATATCCATGGTCGTGTCGTGAAGGCTTCCATGTGCGGTCGACACCGTCGATTTACGCCGCGTCCAGTCGGGCCGTCCTTGGTTAGCGGCCAAGAGACCGCCTAGGGCAGTTGTTATCTCCATGGACATGTCTTCGTTGCCATCGTCGTCATCGTCGTAATATGATGCCGCGGGTCGTCGAATACCGCCAATGGCTCTGGTCAACTCCATGGTCTCGTCGACCTGCATTGTCGCTTCTGCACCGCTGCCCTTCTCACCCTTGGCATGGGCCAGAATGCCTCCCAACGCATGGGTAACGTCCATAGACATGTCTTGTTCCTCTTCTTCGTCCTCGACTGCATCTTGTCGAATTATACCGCCGGCAGCCTGAGTCATTTCCATGTCCATGTCCATGTCCATATCCTGTTCGTCGGCATCGCTTGCCTTATCGGCGTCTTCGAGATTGTTTGTGACGTCGCGAAAGTCAGAACTCTTCTCTTGTTCTGTTGGCTTGTTCTTCTTTATCCAGCCAAACGACGGGATCACCTCTTCTCCGTCTGAATCATCCTGGTCCAGCCTCTGGGTTCCTGCTCTTGTCGAAGCCATGCGAAGAGCTTCCTCCAACGTGTTATTATCACCTGGTGATGATGGGAACCGAGCGGTGAAGCCAGACGTCACAGAGGCACTCGTCACCTCATGGTCCTCAACCGTGACCATAGTGCCGTCGTCCGCATCGGAATCGCTACTGGAGTCTACGTCGGAGTCTTCCTCGCTCTGGACCTCTTCAACAGCGTCAACCGGTTCCGAGTCAGAGCTGTAGAAGGATGAAGCCGTAAATTCGTCGTCAGAGTGGTGCAAGCTCGCTGGTCCCATAGACGAACTCCGCCTGCGCTTCCTTTGATGCTGGGGTGGTTCGGTCGGGTCCTCCACTTCTCCATGAGGTCTGGATGCCGCATCCGAAGACTGATTGGCCTCGGAGCGAACAATGGACGATCTACGACGTGTTGAATCGGTCGACGAGGTCGGGTCTTGCATGTACTCGACTTCGTGGAATGTGTGCAATGTGGCTTCGGCGGCGAAGGAGACTCTTCGATTCGCGAGCGACTTGCGCCGGGCTTCCCTCCGTTCCCTCTCCTCGCGCTCTCGCGCTGCAGCTTGTTGTTCTTCTTCAGTGCGCAGAGCAATCTTGGATTCCGACCCTTCCTCGCGGTCTCCATCTTGTCCGTCGCGGCTATCGGCGGGGTTTGACTTTTTCGTCTTCAGCGAGGGGATCTCGGGAAGGGGCCCAATCGTGGGCTTCAGAATGGACCTCGGAGGTGGGCGTGATGGCGCAGCGAGAGACTGGGACAAGTCAGCATCCTTCCCATTGGATGGCGGCGGCGCGACATACAGCTCTTCGATTACCATTGCCACTTTTCAAAATATCAAGCCCACCCGGTCCCATACTCTTGCTGCGCGACTTCTTACGGTTGGCAGCAAGTGTGCTACCGAGGTCCACGGTCGCATTTTCCTTCTCGAACATCCTAGATGAGGGGATCTGACCATCGATGGACTTGCGCTGTCGGCGCGCCGCAGGGACCGTCGCGTCGTTAAAAGAAGCCATGGCGACGGGTGTATTACGCCGGGCGCGGCTTTGTAGCCAACCAGCCTATCCAAACAACCAAATAACTGCTCTGGTTCTTGTGTTGGAGTTCCTTAAGCAAAGCAAAGTGTCGCGATTAAGTGGGTGATGATGCTGTACGCGTGCCGGTTTGCGAGTGGGATGCTTGTCCAGGACCCGGGTCATGTTGCTCTCTGAGATGATAGCTTCTTGATTGGCCCAAGCGGAACCATATCAACACGCGTCCTTGTTGCTGCAGTAGCAAGCTTCTCCCCCACACGAAAGACCCACTAAAGGCATCCGCCACATTGTGGGTCACGTTTATTCCTCAGCTTGTGGCTTGACCCTCGCTTAATTTTTTTTCGTCTTTGTAGGTAGCAATCCACAGCCCTAAGCCCTGGTGCATTTTGCGGCTTAGCCAATCCAGAACTTTCTCAATCTCCTAGCATCACGACGAGCCCCGAACGAACTACGCCATCCGAGTCGAGGTGCTCAATTTTCACGACCGACAAGGTAAGTGATTCGCGTACTTACCTATCTCAAGGCCATCCCTTTTATTTCCTTGCATCGACCGACGTCCCACGTCCTGACCGTCCTGACCGTCCTGTGCAGCGCCGTGATCGCATCACCACCGCCAACATGGCTACCGAACTTACCGTCCAGTCGGAGCGCGCTTTCCAGAAGCAGCCCATCTTCCTCAACCAGAAGGTCAAGGCCAAGACAACTCGCCCTGGCAAAGGTGGCCGCAGATGGTACAAGGATGTCGGCCTGGGTTTCCGTACCCCGAAGAACGCCATTGAGGGCACCTACATCGGTACGTTCGACCGCGATACAAAACTGGACCGGAACACGGGGATATAGTTAAAAGAGGAGGTCTATTGCATTGGTTGACAGGGGGAAGAGAATGTTTGGGAGGAGCTTGACGTGTGCTGGTCTGGGCATTTTTGTTTTTCGGGGGGGCGCGGGGCGACATGTCACAAATATCGAAATGTTGGGCTGCTGACACCTTTCCTCAACAGACAAGAAGTGCCCCTTCACCGGCCAAGTTTCGATTCGTGGCCGTATCCTGACCGGCACCGTCGTTTCGACCAAGATGCACCGCACCGTCATCATCCGCCGCGAGTACCTCCACTTCATCCCCAAGTACGACCGGTACGAGAAGCGCCACAAGAACCTCGCCGCCCACGTCTCCCCTGCGTTCCGTGTCGAGGAGGGTGACCAGGTCACCGTTGGCCAGTGCAGGCCTCTGAGCAAGACTGTATGTTTTCACGAACCGAGCAAGGACGCCTGTGTTGCTTTTGTTCTTCTTTTTCCGGCCACAGAGGTGTGAAGTACTGACAGTAGGAATGTCGTAGGTCCGGTTCAACGTTCTCCGGGTGTTGCCCCGAACCGGCACTTCGGTCAAGAAGTTCAGCAAGTTCTAATCGGCGCTTTGGCATTTTTCGGCGTGTATGCGGTGTGAGGGTTCTGCTTTGCTCTACCGGAATGGGCGGTCACACAGGAAACTGCATCGTCATGATTTGTGCAATAGATGCAGATCAGATCATCAAAAAGAATTCGATCAACCAAACATCGTCGAGACGGGGCCTAAAAACAGTGAGGCATCGGGTTGATGGAAGCTTTGAACGAATTGGACCTGGGACGGGAAAAGATAACCAAAATGGATCTGGTCGTGGCTACGTGATGCGCGCCGCATAAGGGGCTTTCCTGGTATTGTCATGCGTCGTGATACGATTCATGAGCACAAGACAGAACAACAGAGACTTGTTCTTTCTGACCAACCCATGCGGCTTGCATTCTCCCAACATTGACACTGTGCCATTGAGAACGGGAGATCTGGAGTTCAAGGGTCTTCACTAGGACCGAGTAGCCTGGGGGACCTTGTCAAGGGCACGATTCTGGTGCATTGAATTGTACTCCAGCTCGATTTCTATACCATCATGGTAAATTCCAAGTAGTAGCGGATGAATGTACAGTAGTGGAGGAATCGCGTCCTTGCATGTTTCCTACCGGAGGAGCTTTACGGTGCTGGTGAGGGTGGATAGTGCACGGGCCTTCAATACACGTGACTGTGGGGAGGATGTCCGATCTATCTCATGGCACTCGGTCCCAGATTTCAAGGGTAACTTTTCTTCTTGTTCGCGTGACGAACCACTTTCAGTCAAAGAGAAATAAAAGAGACGGAGAGAAGAGTATGACCTAGGACCTTTCAGAAATATACATTACCGACCCAGGTACTGCCAGAACAGAACCGAGACCGGTTGACAATCTCGACCGCCATGGGGTGGCTCGACGGCTGGTGGTCCGACTCGACCAAATCCTCCGACCCTCTCGCCTCCGTCGATCCCAAGCTCCGCGAGTTCTTGAAGCGCGAATCGCCCGTAAAGTACCATACACCGACGACACAGGACCCGGCCCCCTCACGCACGGCGCCGTCCTCTTCCAATGCGTCCACAGGGGAGCCCGCCGACAAGCCGCTAGTACCGAGAGAGAGCCTCTTCCAGGACGGCCGGTATGCGCACCTGTGGAAAAACTACAAGTCGCTGGGCGACGTGGAGGCGGAGACCAAGACGGATCACGAGAAGCTCATGGACGTGCTCGACGGCTACAAGGAGCGGAAGCACACCATCGGCAAGGCGGCGCTGGAGAACTGCGCCATCCAACAGGAGGAGTGGATCAGCTGTATGAAGAGCGGCGCATGGGAGGACCGACTACAGATGTGTCGGAAGCAGGTGCAACGGTTTGAGAAGTGCTATACCACGCAGACGGTGCGTCGAGCCCCCGAAGACAAGACCCCATTCCTTTGTTCTTTTCTCGTTCGCCTCCCCATGATTCCAGAGGTTGTCGTTATTTTTCCTTCTTCTTTTTTTTTTTTTTTTCTTCTTTTTTTTCTTTTCTTCATCGGACATCTCCAGACTGACATGTATCCCAGAGGTTACTAAAAGCCCTAGGCTACGGCTCCGTCGTAGGCCGTCCACCAGAGGTAGAAGAAGACATCCAGATGCACGCCGACGCCTTGTACCTGAGGGTGCTCGAGCAAGAGCGCGCCCTGAAGGACGCAAAGGACCAAGGCCGCCCCCTGTCGGATCTGCAGACCTTGTTCCCCAAGCCGGAAGGCGCCAACGCCATCGAGCCCGGCGCCGAGCTGCGCAAGTCGTGGGAAGAGAAGCTCCAGAGCCTGCCCCCCGAGGAGCGGGCGTCGGAGGAGGCCGCGTTACGGGCCGATTTCCAGGCCAAAGCCGTCGTCGCCCGGGACGTGCAGAAGCTTTGGGAGGCGCAGGCGGACGAGCGCAAGGCGAGGGAGGCCGAGGGCAAGACGACCATGCTGGACCGGTTCTCGTCGCTCTTCCGGTTCAAGTGAGGCTCTGGCAAAGTCTGAACGGGCGTGGGAGGGTACGTGCCCTTTGGGGGGCGAGTGTTCAACAGAGGTCTACGTGTGGAACGACAGTTGGAAGATGAGGCTCAACGTGTACCACAAGTGTACTCTTACTGTATTCAATACCTGTATAGCGAGCGGATAAAAGGTCCTGTCAAAAGTCGACACAAGGCGAAGCAGAAGCGTTTCGGTCAGCCAACACAATGTCCCAATGTCCCAAGGTCTCTGCTCGATATCGCACGCACCACTGGACAGCTCTTCCTGCTTCAAGTCCCCTTTCATCAAGCTTGTGCTCATCACTTCAGGATCCCGACGCATTCAAAACTGAACGGAAGCTAGGGTGAATGTTTCAAGTCAGATCCGTATCGAGACTAAAGTCTTTCCTCCAAAGCCACTGCTGCCCTCTCCAGGAAGGCATTAAAGTCCCTCAACTGCTTTAATGTCCCGCCACTGTCACTCTTGGACGATGCTTGTTCGGAAACCCTGGATATGAGAAGCTCGAGGTTTGCCAACTCGGCATTCTTTTCCTGGGCTGGCAGCAGTCGATCCTGAGCACGACCACGTTCAACCGCGAGATCAATATCGTGCATAGCAGACGATAGGGTTACTTGGTGCTGCACCGAGGAGAAAGAGCCGAGTTAGCGGGGTGCGTGTGTCACATAACTTGAGTTTTTTTTTCGATGATAAACCTACCAAGAGCTCATCCCGTTCTTTCTCATGTCTAGCCCTCACCGCGTCCTTGCGAAGGGCCACCTGCTCTCGCTCCGCTCGGACACGCATGATCTCCTCACGGAGACGGGCCTTCTCTTTCCTTTCGTTCCGCACACGCAAGCGAAGGGAGTTTAGGTGGTCGACTCGAATAGTCTGACGGGGAAGGGGGAGATTTAGCATCGGTGAGAATCCTCAGCGTCGCACAAAAAAAAAAGGGGGTTTACCTACGTGCCCGAGGAAACGGTGCTGCAACTCTGCTCGGTACGCCTCCAGCGCACTTATCTTGACTCGAGCCTCCTTCCTCGCCTGCGCGTCGGCGGCTTGCTCTAGGTCACCGTGGATACTGTCCAGGCTCGTATCGATGATCTCGTCGCACAGCTGTGACAGGACATCGATGCAGTTGACGGTCGCCCGTTTGGAGTACGGGATGTCGGCAGTCAGGATGTCGAGGTCGGGATCATCGCCTTCAGCCACCTGCCCCCGCCTCGTGAACCGCTGTACGGGGACCTCAACGACTTCTGCATCAGGGCTTCCAGCAGTCCGCCGCTTTTCCGAGCGTTTTAGGCGTGCTTCTTTGGGTTTGGATTTCGGCTTCGACTTGGCGGCCACTTGATCCTTCCGTTGTTGACCTTGCTTCTGTTTGGCCGGACTCGTTCTGGTCTGTTTCCGCCTACGCTTGGCAGCCGGTTCCTGTTCGGCGGATGCTCGCTCTTCCTCCGCAATGTCGTCCACTTCGAGATCAAGTGCGTCCATGCTTTGACGTGGACGTTTCTGTCTCAGTCGTTGGGCTGCTTTAGTCGCTGATATCTCTTCTGCGACGTCTTCGACCGCCTCTTGGCGTTCGACGTGGTCCAGGCTCGGCTGTGGTTCCGGCTCCTTATCCTCCTCCCTTTCTTCTTCTCGCATGTCGACGAGTTCAGTGGGTTGGGCGGACTCCGATTCTTGAACATCGTGCTCGAGACGAGTCGACAGCTCGAGGGAACCCTGTGAATGGGAAGGGCTTGGCGCAGATGCCTGTTGGTTAGAAAGCTCATCGCGTGCATCCACTTCCACGGCCTGACGGATCGGGTGCTTGCGTGGAGTGCTAGTTCGGCGAAGAGCGGCGGCCGCACTTCGTCTCGCCCTTTGCGCCAGGGGTGAAGAGAGAGGATCGGCATCACTCGCGTCGGGGGAAGAGGACGGCGGGAAAATGACTTGTTGTAACCTGGTGCTGGAGTTGGAAGCAGCATCGATCCTGACGCTCCGTCGTCGACCCGTTCCCGGAGCCTGAGATGGGCTCTCCTCCACTTCTGAAAGTAGTACAGTTCTTGAGATCACAGAGCGAACCGATCCGGGAGCCAATGGTGCCGCAGATGGAAGCAATGCAATGTCGTCCACTTCGTCATTAATAGTCGTCGTGTCGGGTGTTCTTATCCTCCTAGTTGTTGCAGGGCTGATTGTCCTCCTTACTGTTTCTGCCTGTAGCTCATCTTCGTCCGGTTTTGGGGGGCCAGCGGCAGCACCATGAGTGGCGCCCGTTCGTACGGGATGCTTCGCGGGTCCGGCATGGCGCGATAACGGGCTCTTAGGATCCGTGTCGAGTTTTCTCCTCTTCGCCGACGTATTAGGTGTTGACCTTGATCGGGTCGTTTGCGAAGGGGGAGGTTGGGACGGTGCTGGTGGTGGCGGCGGCGGCGGCGGCGGGGGAGGTGGGAGATTCGATGGACTCGACTCCTCGGATGGGTCAACTTCCGAGCTTGTCTCGTCAAGACCCAGATCTAGCTGAAAAGAAACGTCATCTACTAGCCCGCGACTTCAAGAAATGTCAGCGACAACAGACGCGCTAAATGGGCTTTCACAGAAGAAGCACATACCCGGCGCCACGAATGCGCTGCTGCATGCGCTCAGTACGAGCTGAAGGAGAGTTAGACTCGAGATGTTATATTAGAGGAAGGACAACTATATTGGGCGACTCACTAGCCATTGTGGTTGTACCGGGAATCGCCAAAGCTATCTACCTAGGTAGTTATGTGATGCGACATGGATACAAGATTTGGATAGGTAAAGAACCGCAGCACAATCGGTGTGATGACATGCTATGCGACGGAGAGACAGTGACGTTATTGGGAGCCTACGATTCAACGCGTCAAATCGATGTTACGGGTGTAATTTAAGGTACAAGACAGTTGTGGTGGGGTGGCGGACGCGTCGAGCTAGCAGCTTAAGGTACCTATCTTAAGGTACCTTACCTCTTGCCTTATCTTATCGCTATTTGCATTGATAAGATACGGCGCAGTGGAAATTATAACGTACGTAATAATTATGCGTACTGTCACTCCGACCCGTCCACTCTCACGTTGTGCTCGGTATTTGTGTGCGCCACGCTGGGAGATGGCATTCACCAGATGTACTGTATATCTAAGCCCAGGGCAATCCTAAAGTAAACGAGCTGGCCATTTTCAAACAAACCTGTCGTGAGAGGTTATATCCCACCCGGTGGACCTAGACCTAACGCGCCGAGCTACCTAACATGGGATTGGGAATATCAAGAAATCGGTATCCCCAAGAGTTCAAGAATGTCACACTCGAAACGCGGTATAAGTGGAACATTGCCCAACTCAAACTCAAGGTTCACCTTAACCTCGTCTGTGCCATTCTATAAAGCATAGGTCTTAGAACTCGATGTTTAATCATCGAAGCATATTTAATCTTCCCGGCCCTTTATAAGCACTTCCAGAGTCTCCCGTCCCAATCCCAAATTGAGAAATGCCCCGTCGATAACGCCATCACCACCGCCTGAAGTCGGAGAACGATGCTCCCACCCCCTGTACCGTCTATCACGATATATCCTACACTCATGTTACATTATTTACCTTCAATGTCATAGTTCAGAGTTCTCTTCGTGAAGGGGAGCCCATTCCATCTTGATGTCGTCGAATACGTGGCTGCAAACGACCCGTCAATACTCTACTGCTCCTACTGAAGGAAAGTAAAGCAAGGGGATGCGGAAACATACCCATGGAATTTCTTCCTGGTCAAGGCCTCTTCGCCATACTCGGACTCGAGCATCTCCTTGTATTTGAACGGGATTTTGACCTCGACGCCTTCGAACGTAGTATCTAACAAGGGGAAAAGGTATGTGTCCTGTTAACAGCAGATTAGCTCTCCCCCGAGGACAAATCGCTGCAGTTCTGCTCCGCTATGAGCGGAAGAAAGACCGAGAGACCAACTCTGAACTGGTGGCCATCCTTGCAGACCAATACCCCCTCTCCCTCGGGGTGATCGAGGTCGTAGCTCGCTGTCGTAATGTCAATGAAGAGACCATTCTCCATGTCAATCCACCTGGCGTCCACGACATTGAGCCTATCGCTGTCTTCTCGGATAGTGTAATGCGGGTTGACTTCGAGCTGAAATGTCCGCCCATTGGGGACGGCGGGGTATTCGAAGTAGTACGTGGTCATGTTGTAATAGGCCGCAAGACGGTAAATCGATGGCTCCGATATCATCACGTCCGCATCCGTATCCCATGGTAGGATCTAGTCGTCTCGTGGTCAACGACCGGTCTGTTTGATAACCCCTGGGCCAGAAAAGGGGTAATTCGGGATGGACAGCAAGTTACCTGCTTGTTCCACCACCACCCGAGGAGTGTTCCGTGCATTAGCCACGTCTCAATGCCCAGATCTCGGAATGTTGCGAGGTATGTCTGGACCAGAACTTTGATGGCATGCCTCTGCTCATCTTGGTCCACGATAGGATGGCTCGCGAATCGGCCGTCGTAATGGACGTGGAAACTGCATGCCAATTCAGGGGGGTTAACGGCCGGGGAACCACCAACATCCCCGTCCCTTTACTAAAGCAATGTCTCGCTCACCTTGACTCGTCTACAGGCCGTGTCAGCATCCATCGCACATAGTTCCAAACAGAATATAGTACGTACGAAAGTATTTCCCTGGTTGAGCATGATACTCCTCGCCCTTCTCATTGACGTTCTTGATGTTCTTGGGCCTAGCTTCCGACGTCTGGGTCGTGGCCAGCAGGAGGGCGAACCCCGGTATCAGGGGACCGAGCTTCATGGCGGCAGCAAGAGAATTATGCTCGTCGAGCCGAGACTTCCGAGTTATCGCGAACAGTTTACATCAGGAATCCCGACGATTGTCAGAGACGGAGAAAGGGAGAGGAGAGGTCGCCTAGCATGGTCTCACTCTTCAGCTTAATAAGCTCGACTAGACGAGAGCCGGTCTTCAAAGAGGAATTCATGTCGAAGATCTTTACCAAGTAACGAAGTATGCCCTCTTGATCCGCGTCCTGCCTACGTCATCGTGTATGGAGTATATTAGCCCCTATTTGGTACCTGTCTTGCTACCTTAGCTTCCCGGTTCACAATAAAGTTAGAGTACCTTAGGTAGCGGCATATGTACAGAGTACTTCGATAACAGACTGTGGGTGCTACTCCGTAAGGTACCTTACATTTCTCTCTGACACGCTCCGTGCATTCCCACCACACTGCCTTTCCCGAAACTCAAACAAGACGTTTGGGAACTTGTACATATGCTGAATGCCCGGCGTGGAGATGAGCCAAGACGGGAAAGAGAGGGGCCCTCACAAAGGCATGGTGCAACTGGTAATTAGTAGCTGTGCCAGGTCGCAATACTGCTCGGTATCGTACTCGGCCATCAGGAGTCTCGCACTTTGCTCCTGACCATCCCTGGGAAGTCCTTTCTGTTGTCCGTCCGTGTCGGATTGAGGATCAAGACTCCTAGCACCAGACGTAAGTAAGGTACGGGGAACCGGGTATGCAGGTACAGTGGCCTGACAAAAGGATCGAAGCACTTTACATATCCGCATCATGTGGGGCGCTTCGGTCTTTTGGTCACTTACGTAATTACAGTATAAATACCGTCGCTCCTTATCTTTGGGCGAGAGTCCTATTCCCATGGTGTGGAAGAAGTCGTAACCAACCCAGGCTCTGTCTACTCTACCTTATGTACTCCGTGTCAAGGCTTTGTATCCTTACTCCGTACCAGGTATCAATGGACTGTTGGAGGGGGTGGGCCCAGATCTGAAGCTCCGTGTCGACCACCGCAGTAGAGAGTGCCCTAAACCCTCGCCTGACGCAAGCCAACTGAACTCTCCGTGCTCCAACAACTCGTCCTTCGGCTCATTCTCGTAAGGTACCGATCCGTACCTGCCTTACTTAAGCCACATCGCTATATCGCTGTAGCATCCTACACTTTGGTTTCCTACGCGGCTTCTCTAATCAATCCCAGGCACTTTCCTTCTCCTCCCTCTCCTGCGCATTCCGTCGTGTGATGCAACTGTCGCCATCAGCTTGCTGGTGTCGCCCTTCGATATCGCAATTACGTTGATTCATCGAGACCACTCCCTCTTTGCGGCGAACGCAGCGTCGGACAAGCAAAATGACTGCTTGGAACGTACGTCGAATATAATCCGCGAATCATACGAATCACTGGCATCGGAAGGGTGATGGGCTGACGTTGGAAGCAGATTTTCCGGCTGCTGGGAGACTGTTCCCATCTAGCCTCGAAATGTATCCTTCTCTTCGCGATCCATCGAAACAGGAGCGCCGAGGGTACGATTCCCCTTTGCTCGTCTTCTCTCAATTCATTGACAAACGGTCACCTCAAATCGGATTCCGACTTGCGCTAACGGGAACGCTCTTCGGCAGGCGTCTCACTGATTACCCAGGTTCTCTACTCTCTCGTCTTCCTGACCCGATACACCGACTTCTTCAGAGAGAAATCACTATGGAACCTCTTCTTCAAAGCGTTTTACATCTTATCATCCTTCTATACCATCGGTATAATGCAATGGGTATACCCTAGGTCGAGAGAACGTGAGCTAGCGTGGAAAATCGGCGCCGCTGCGCTCGGAGGCTCCCTTCTCCTATCCCCATTTGCCATGCTCGCTTTGGAGGAGAAGGCCGTATGGAGTGCGCGTGTTGTACGTATATCCATCTTCTTGTCTGTCGTCTGCTCCGAGTGCAACCCACTGACATACGACACCAGTGGATTTGGGACTTCTCGCAAATCCTCGAGTCCGTCTGCGTCCTACCCCAGCTCCTCCTCCTCCGCCAGACCACAGTTCCGACAGTCATCAACTCGTTCTACCTTCTTGCCCTCGGTTCGTACCGAGGTCTATACCTCATTGGCTGGATCACGCGTGAGCTCGACATGTCAGACCGAGCCCCCAATACCGTCTCCGTAATCTTCGGCATCATCCAGACCGCCCTGTACGTCGATTTCGCCTGGGTATACTACACGCGCCAGCGCGTCAAGCTCCGCAACGGCGGAATCGTCGACGCCGACGACTTGCGCCGCGGCTGGTTCCTCCACCGCATCTTTGGCAAACGCGCCGATTCGCAGCTGGACGAGGATGACGAGGAGGGCGCCCCGGCACTCGGTCGCGAGTCCGGCCATAGTAGCAGGCCGAAGTGGGGCGCCCGCGGCATCTCCGTGAGTGCCGATGAGGGTGTCCTGGATGTCGAGCGGGATGCTCGCCCTCACGACGACGGTATCGGTGGCACTGTTGATCCGGATGCGAGAATGAAGGATCCCGATGAATTGGCCAGAGCGCTTGAGGACGATGATGATACCCCGGGACCATCGACAAGCGCGGCCGGTGCGCGCAACCCTAGCCCCAATGGCATCTCGAATGGGCAAGAGTGGCGAGACAACTAAGCCTACATATGCTACGATAGCTCCGGTGGGGAAAGGCGAGTGCAGGTTATTGTTGTTGTTGTTGTTGCTGTTGTTGTTGTTGCTGTTGTTGTTGTTGCTGTTGTTGTAGGGCTCTCCAGGTCTACGATGTGGGGAGAACGAGAAGCCCGGGCGACATGTTGGCCAAAGAAACATTTTGGAGGAATCAGATGTCAACCTGATATGTCCCCATTTCCACTTCCTTCCTGCTGCGACCTCGCCGTGGAGATGGGGTGCCCCTGTCATGGTTGCCACTATGGGGCAAGATGGTTTTCATTCGATGAGTCCACGTTGCTACTTTTCTAGTTCATGACAGATCACAGACGTTTCAATTCTACGATGTTCTGACTCAACTTTGGCTCTGGAGTTGCAGAGTGTGTCAATGATGGGCGGCCAATAATTGTTTCATAAACCACTTGAACATGCTCTGCCGGAATGGCAAGTTTCCTCTGCCTTTGTTTTCATTATCATTACACTTTTGAAAACCACCCAGTTACACATTAAAGAAGAGAAACCGTTTTTCGAACCTGTATGGTTATAACGCCCCTACACTACACTTGCCATGAATTCTGTCTCGGGGAGAAGGGGGGTTATGGCGAGAGATCTGGGCGTCTGAGTGGAAGTAGCATGTATAAGCATGTTAAGCAACTTTCCGCAACTCCCGTTGGCAGCTCTAGAAGCACGCTGGCTAGAGAGAAGCCAGAGCAAGACGTTGATAGAGCTGGTTTCTAGATACACTTGCTGAGGCGAACCCCAAACTGAATGGAAAGTATGTACAGCCATGTGTGAAATTCAATACGAGGCGCGTTGATCACTCAAAGCATACCTCTACAGTTCGAACGCCGTCCAGAGTCTTTGCTCATAAGTCAACCCATTGTACGTAAGGGGCACCACATTGTTCACGCCTCCGGTCCGTCCATATCCAAAGAGGAAGCTGCCTCTTCTCCGCCTGCCATCTGAAACTCCAAAGAACAGTGTACAAAAAGCGTTAGGGAACAAGAAAAATAAAAGGGGAATAAAACAAAACTACAACTAGATGAAGACAAGAGTCACTAGGCAAAGCGTCGCTCAAATTCCTCGTATAATTTGGGGGTGATCTCGTTGCTGGTCATGCCCTCGACTTCCCAGAGCACGCCTTTCTTGGCATAGTGCTCGAGGAGCGGCTCGCTTGTCTCCTGGAACTTGCGGAACCGTTCCTTATACACGTCCACATTGTCGTCTGGTCGCTGAGTGAGCGGCTCCCCTGTCACGTCGTCGACGCCCGCTACCTTCGGGGCGTTGAAAGTGGTGTTGTACACGCGGCCCGAGGGCTCGTGGACCCACCGGCTCGTGATGCGCTCAATGACAACGTCGATGGGCGTCTTGAGCGAAATGACTAGGTTGATGGGGATGATCTTGTCGCAGGTGCGGGCTTGGGCAACTGTTCGAGGGAACCCATCGAGGAGAAACGAGGCAGAAGGGTCCTCGGATGCGACTGGCGGGGTATGTTCGTTGAGGGCAGCGGCGCTGGTGATCCAATCGTCGAGGGGTAGTGCGCCAAAGCAATGCGGCTCGGTCGTCGTGGCGGTGGAGGAAAGCGTCATGACCTCGGGGTCTCCTGGCCTGCGCAGCCAGCCCCTTTTGTATAGTTCGTTGGAGATAAGGCGCATGATCAGGTCGTCGGCGACTAGCCCGCCGGCCTTCATGGTGTGCTCGACTTTGATGCCTTTACCACCCCGCATAACGTAGTTAGCCAAAAATTGCAAGAAGGACGGGACAGCGACAGATTGCTACTGGCTGAACATACCGAGGGGCGTCCGAGCTTTGACATTGTGACGGAGGAGGTCTCCGGTGCTAATGGATTGGAGTTCAGGAAAGCGCTGGAGGAGTCGCTCAGACTGAGTCCCTTTGCCAACGCCCGGCGCACCGACGAGAATGACACGGGCGGCCCTTCGGAGTCGCATAATCGAGTACTAGTGTCGCAATGATTGTTTCGATGGTGCCAGGAAACGTGCAAAGCCACAAATGCCGAGACACCGTCGTGGACCCGAGTATACCGAGGCTGCGTGGTTGAATTCACAGACGAAAGCGCTGAGAAAATAAAATAAAATAAAATAAAATAAAACAAACCGCGAGGATAAGCGACAGAATTGGGAGAATTAGGTAGACGAAGAAGACTTGGATCGATAAACAACCTGGACGACAGAAAGGACGAAGGAGAATGAGAGCAGAAAAAAGGGCGAATACGCAGCGAGCAGGAGGCAAAAAGCCACTGCCGAGATGGTCCGAAACCTACGTCCCGTCTGTTGGAATTGGAATACGATCGGCAGGAGGTGAGGGGAAGGATGAACAAATGACGGGTGACAAAAAGAAGGCCGGATCCTGGCTTCATCTACGAAGTACGAAGTACGAAGTATTACGAATGCGATGAATGGCCTATTGCCTTCATTATTAAGGTACTAAGGTACAAAATTATGCTGCCTTTGCAAGTTGTTGAGAGCACCACCAGTTCAACGGACCAAAATCTGGCGGAAGGGGTTCCCCTGTGGACAGTCCCTTGTATTACCCTACCAAAATACTGGCTAGCACCTTGTGGTCGTACCGAGTCCGGGGAGCCAAGACAGTGCACGGACTCCAAGCCGTGGGATGTTGCTGGTCTCTGGGTCGCTGGAAGTCCAGGAAATTCTCGGCATGCCAGGGGCCTAAAAGACTAAAAGAACCCCCGTCCCGGACGTCAGCCGAAGATCGGAGCTTGGGGGTACATTCCTACCAACTTACCATGAATTACTCCGTGCACTAAATCGCCCCTATGAAAAACAATGGGCCCAAAACAATATACCGTGGGCATCCCATGCCATCTGCTCACATAGCCGATAAATACCTATCCAACAAACACGGAGCAAGTTTGTTGATGTGGCCAAATAGCTCGTCAGAATTCTACGAAGTGTGTTTGCTAGCTACCTATGTACATCGGAAAAAAGGGAGGAGCAAGGGCTCAGGTTGGAGTCTTACTGAGTGGTGTTGTTCTCAGGAAGTACGGGTATATGTTTTTGGTACTGGCTAAGTAAGGTAAGGTAAGTAAGGTACCTCAGGATGGCTAACGGATAAGGTACATACCTAGGTACCTTAGGCTGAAGAAGTAACGTGCAACTGCACGTGCTTTCGCCCCCTACGTCCCAGATCGGTTAGCGTATTTCCAATCTCTGTAGAAGGGTTGAGAATGACGGACCAGGTCGTAAATCGAAAGGCAACAACGACGCATCTTCCTTCGTACAAGTTATATCCATATGACAACTGGACTCTGACCAACATCAACGATTGTAGTCCCGACTTGACCCAACCGACTGTCGATACCTTTCACTTTGTTTGTTTTGTCTATCCGTCCATTCATCCGCCGTTACAAAATCCCACCGACCAGCGCCACTTCATTCGGTGGACCGTTACCCATGATCCCTCCGCTGTGGTAGCTGCACGCCTTCCAGAACCCAACCCCAAGACGCATCTCGATAATGAGTGCTTCTACCAACATCGCCCGTCGGGCCGCCTTCCTAGGCAATGGTGCGCAGTAACTTCCCTTGAAGAAGCAAGCCTGCAAAACTAATGCGAATTAGCACGCGCCATGTCAGCATTGACTTTGCCGCCGCCTACCCTCGGTCGATACGCGAGACACCTGCCTCGAAAGACATCCGCCATTGCCATTCTCATCCCTTTGCGGCATTTGGGAACAGACCATCACACCCAGAGCCAGTCGCAATCCGCCCCCCCGCCTGGTTTCAACGTGGAGCAAGCTAAGAAGCCGCTACCAAAGGAGAATACCTCGGCTGCGAAAACGGACCAAAAATCGAAGGACTCGAATTCCAAGACAGCCAATAACGAAGGCGCCCAAGCCGTCTCCAAGGATTCTGTCAAGGGAGTGAAGGCTGACTCGGATGCGAGCCTGACCGACCTGGCGAATGCGAAACAGGCCGCCGTCGACAACAAGAAAGATGGCCAGAAGGACAAGAAGACCCTCTGGCAGAAGATCAAACACGAAGTACAACACTACTGGGATGGAACCAAGTTGCTTGCCGTTGAGGTTAAGATCAGCACTCGCCTGGCTGTCAAGATGGCTGCAGGATACGAGCTCAGCCGGAGAGAGAATCGTCAATTGAAGCGGACCGTGCAGGACCTTGGCCGCCTAATTCCATTCTCCGTCTTCATTATCGTCCCTTTTGCCGAACTCCTTCTGCCCGTTGCCCTTAAGCTGTTCCCCAACTTGCTGCCAAGCACCTACGAGGCCCAGAAATCCAAAGACGCCAAGGCAACCACTCTGCGTACGACCCGCAAGGAAGTGAGCGATTTCTTGCGGCGCAGCCTAAAGGAAACCGGTCTTCCCGTAACGCCAGCGACTATCCAGCGTGAGGAGTTCACAACTTTCTTCAGGAAACTGCGGTCCTCCGCCGAAACACCTACGGACGACGATGTCATCAAGGCATGCCAGATCTTCAAGGACGATTTGACCTTGGACAACCTCTCCAGGCCACAGCTGGTGTCCATCTGCCGGTACATGAACCTGAACACTTTCGGCACCGATAACATGCTGCGGTACCAGATTCGGCATCGCATGAAGCAAATCAAGAGAGACGACAGGCAAATCAGCTACGAAGGCGTTGATAGTCTGACGTCAGGCGAGCTGCAGATGGCCTGTGCCAGTCGTGGTATCCGGACCCAGAGCGTATCGCCCGCCAGGATGCGGGAGTATTTGCAACAGTGGCTGGACCTCCGGCTCACGGACCGTGTGCCGTCGACTCTGCTTGTGCTGAGCAACGCCTATATGTACGGCCAGGGAGCTGGCGGTAGCACTAGCCAGATCGACGCTTTGGTGGGCGTTCTCTCGTCTATCCCCGACGAGCTGCTCCACGAGATTGCTCTGGAGGTTCACACGGCCGAGGGAGCGGCCACTAATAAACAGCGGTTGGAGGTCCTCAAGGAGCAGGAAGACCTCATCGAGGAAGAGAACGACCAGAACCAGGAGAACGCCATCACCGGCCTGGCCACTCCGCGCGACGTCGAGGACATCGACGACAAGGATGAGACGCATGTTCCTGTCGAGGCCAAGTCGGTGGGTGCTGACGCGGTGCGGGAGGCTGAGGAGGCGGAGCAGGAAGCAGTGGCTGCCAAGCGCCAGCAGCAAGCCGATATGGAGCAGAAGAAGCCTTGAACGGCACGCGGAAGGCTCTTCTTCGTCGTTCGCTCTACGCGTGCTTTTTTCTTTTTTTCTTTCTTTTTCTTTCTTTCTTTTGTGTCTGGGAACCTAACCCCCTTGTATTCCATCACCTATGTCCAGCTAACGATGTCTGAGAGGTGTATAACTTCACCCAGCACGAGGCGTGCAAAACTGAGATCAATACATAACACCAAGGGGAATGGGCATGGGTTAAGCTGATAGATGACATTCTTCTCAGGAAAGGCAGATATAATTCCACTTTTGTATTATGATGGAGGCACTCTAGTAATCCTGTACATATTATAAATAAAACGACTTATCTCTGGTTATAAGATCGACCACTCCAATATCGTAGCTAGGTATCGCGAACTTCATACCGATCACTGCTGTGTCTGCGGTGTTACGCTATTGACATCTGTGGTCTGAGCTGGCTTGTTCCAGGTTGCTTGCGAAACTGGGGAGGACAGCGTTGTATCCGTATGAGAGGGGACGAGTTTGGTTGCTGGAGGTAAGGTACCTAATAAGGTAAGGTAGGTAGCCAGATAGATCCAAACGGTAACTTTCAACCTGTATGTGATTACGTACGTCGTAGGTAGCTATGTACCTTGTAAGCCTCCATGCTTGTCGCCAGCATCTGGCTACACCAAACACGTACAACTATAGGGGTACTGCCCTCAATGCCTGGGGTATCTATACAATCTCATTGGGCATTGGGCGCCATGAATTTATGTCTAGGTATCTCTGCGACATACAGAGGCACCTAGCCCGAGAGTACCTACGGCCGGGTTGTGGTAGCGTCACCTCCACCACCAATGTCTACGACACATGCCAATGCAGCACCAGCACCCTTCCCTTCTTCCTTCCCATAGCCTCACAGGATGCTCTCACTCATGTAACCATCCCACCTCCAACAATCACTACCGTACCCATAACTCCCAATTCAGCCTCGAACTCCCGTTGCACTCAAAGCAGTATTAAGCATTTCTTTTAAATTGAATTCCGCGACTGTCCTCCAGCAACAATCATTTGCGCACACTCGCGGCACGTCATACCTAGTTCCTAGCCGCCCAGCTCGAACCTGGAGCACCGCGTCTGCGGAGGGTTGCTGCAATGGCTAGGATCGAGCAGGACGACTTCTCTAATGTCTCCTGGCACAGCGAGCGCCCCTCTGAAGGCTCTTCCGCCATCTCCGAACCATCTCATGCCCATTCCGACGTTGATGCATCGGATAGCAATGGTCACTCAGGTCCCGATCCCTCTGGCCTAGGCCCTTCGGCCGGCTTAGGCGGGGAGGTGCTTGAATGCACCGTCTCTAGCCCGCTGAAGGAGAACGAAGGCTCCAAGGACGTTTTTGTGTCTTATCTAATTACCACCTATGTACGCGGTTGCTTCTTACATGGCCTTTCCGTGTTCACCAGTCTCCAAGGCGGACGTCACTAATGCCTCCCGTATTCTAGACAACCTTCCCAGATTTCCAGAAACCCACGAGCACGGTACGCAGGAGGTTCACCGACTTTGTTTTCTTGTATAAGGCGCTGTACAGAGACTTCCCAACTGCGGCTGTTCCTCCCTTGCCCGATAAGCAACGCATGGAGTATGTCCGTGGAGATCGATTCGGCCCCGATTTCACCCACAGACGAGCCCACTCTCTACAACGCTTTCTCACTCGCCTGTCGCTACACCCAGTGCTTCGTCGGGCTGATATTCTCCACATCTTTCTCGAGAGTCCAGATTGGAACGCAACTATGCGCACCCGAAGCGTACGATTGTCCCAGAGTAGTGATTCGGGAGGAGTGCTCGACAACCTTACCGAGTCCTTCATGACCGCCTTCTCCAAGGTTCACAAGCCGGATAGGCGGTTCATCGAGGTGCGCGAACGAAGCGACAAGTTGGATGACGGCTTGGCCTCGACCGAGAAGGTGGTCGCCCGGGTTGCGCGTAGGGAGCACGACATCGTGACAGACCAGAAGGACCTCGCGGAGCAGTTCCAGAAGCTCATTGTTCTAGAGCCCGGGGTCGAAACCGCGGTTCACCACTTTGCAGCCTCCATGGAGGATTCGGCCCAAGCCTTGCAGCAACTCCGGGAAATCACGGAGCAGGACTACCTCGGCAGCCTCAGGGATATGCAAGCCTACAGCCAGGCGTTGAAGAGTCTTCTCAAGGCGCGGGAGCAGAAGCAAGTGGATTACGAGCAGCTTATCGAATACCTCAACAAGGCTACTGCGGAGAGAGATAGCGCACAATCCGGATACGGACAGTCCGGCTTATCTGGGGCTAGCGGATTCCTTACACGCAAACTCGAAGATGTTCGAGGCGTTGACCACGAGCAGGCGCGTCGTGAGCGGCGGGTCAAGCTCGAGCGGAGAATCGACGAACTGACGACGGCCATCGAACAGGCCAAGCGGGCCAGCGAGGGCTTTGATAACGAGGTTGTCAAGGAGGTGAATGACTTTGAGCGCATCAAGCGCGCCGAGTTCAGGACCCAGCTTGGCGGCCTAGCGGACGCGCACCTGGACTACTACAACAAGGTCATCGACGTTTGGGAGGGCTATGTGCGGGAAATGGAAAAGGAAGGGACGTCGGTGCCGACGGATCTCCCTGAACCGCCGGGCCGGCAGCTGGTGTAAGAATTACCTATTCATCCTGGGATATGAATACAAGGAAGCGGTGTGGCAGCGGCGGCGTTGTAGTAATTATCTTTCTCGGCGTAATGGAAGTGAACGGTGGTCGGTATCGAACTTAGTGAGGCGGCTCGTTTCCCGTTGTTGAAAAGCATAAGGTACTATTGGTTTCGGTTGTGACTTGAACCGCTACGACCATGCAGTATTGTCCAAGGGTACATGGTCATCTTCTAGCCACCTAGGGTGTCGCATTCCATTCTCAGTTTAGAGAACCCGTGTCTGGTATTATTCTTAAGAAGGGGTGGTTTGGCGAGACTCTGGATCAGTGATATGAAAATATGTTACATATCCTGGTGCCGGGTCAAGATAATGGCAGTCATCTCATGGCACTGCTTCCAGGTCGGTAGCTACGTCGCCTGGGAAGACTACCTGAGAAGCTGCCATAAGGTTGATGCCGTGGCCCTGATGTTTCGGTCTCGCGATGATCCTTATCCAAAGAGGGGTCGGCTTCTATTTAGGACACCATCTCAACGCGCCAGGACAGGTTAGTTGTCATGATGCTTCTCGCAGCCTCCCGCGAACTCCCCTGCACTTTGGGAACCACATTGTCGAGGCTGGGACGTGGTCAGAGAATAACGTTGTTGAGATCGGGGTCCATCATGTGGCCATCGAAGACACCCCCACTGCGCACACGGATTCTGACGAGTTCGGCAAAGGCTACGTGGAGCCGGGTGATGCTGCATGAGAGATCTAATTACTTCGCGGCGGACGGATTTGGTTGAGCTTCTCGTAATCCTTCGTCGACTCCAAGACTGCAAGACGATAATGATGCGGAAATATGATTTTGCTGGATGTAAAAATGTACCAAGTTGTGGCTGGCGTTGAAGTTAGGTAGTTTCTTGACCTTACTCAGGTCTTTGTCTAACAGGATCAGGTATTACGCCGTACTCCATACCTCCGTGTACTAACGTAAACGGCCCACTTAATTAGTGTCGGACAGTTGCTGGTTCTACGTGTAATTCAGAGATATCACGTGATGTAAGCTAGGCGAGTGGTTCGCCCCGAGTCCCCAAATTGTTCCCCTGTCTTTGCCAAGATCGCTAGCAAGCTATTCCCCATCCCTACCGGAATACTCTTTTTCTTTTTCCCCGTGTAGGTGGCCTTTACACTCTGGTGAAACATCTTACACCGGAGTCGCAACACTCGACACTCCCGTCCCGATGTTTTAGTGCTGGCTGGTGTTCAATTTCCCCCCCTTCAACCTCTCTCTTTCCTTTCGACGGCACAAGGGGTTTTTGGCCCCCTCGAAGTGTCTCCCTTTCCCTCACGCGAAATAGCAGCAGCAGCTTACTTGGCGGCCTGCCTCCCGCTGCACCATGAGGGTGTCTTCGACACTCGCGCTCCTCGGCCTAGTTGCCATGGTAGCCGGTAATCCGTCCAAACCCCGAAATTACGATGCCAACGATTATTATGTGCTCGAACTCGATTCCTCGACATCCCCGGACTTGGTCGCGGCGCGGCTGGGGTTAAGACACGAGGGGCAGATGGCCGGGCTCGAGGGGCATCATATCTTTGCTGGAAAGCGGGAGCGTCATGACGTGGTCACGCCTGTGTTACACGAGAGCAAGAGGAGGAAACGAGACTTGGGTGGCTCGGATATTCTCGAAGGCGTCAGGTTCGCGCAGAGGCAGGTTCCTCGCAAGCCATGGGAGAAGAGGGCTCTGCTGCCTACGCGGCCTACGCGGCCTCCGCGCTTCTACTCGGATGCGAGGCAAGCGGATCTTGGACTTCTTCAGAGACAGCGCCATGTTATGGACACTCTGAGCATCAGCGATCCCATCTTCGACAAGCAGTGGCACCTGCTGAACACCCTTCAACCCGGCCACGACCTCAACGTAACGGGCTTGTGGATGCAGGGCATCACGGGTAAGAATGCAACTGTAGCCATTGTCGACGACGGGCTGGACATGGACAGCGATGATCTCAAGCCCAACTACTACGCCGGGGGCTCGTACGATTTCAACGATCACCGACCCGAACCCAAGCCTACGCTGTCCGATGACAGGCACGGGACCCGCTGCGCCGGCGAGGTGGCCGCGGCGAGGAATAATGTCTGCGGCGTGGGAGTTGCCTATGACTCTAAGATAGCCGGCCTGCGCATCCTGAGTAAACTGATCACAGACGCGGACGAAGCCCTAGCTATGATCTACGACTTCCAGCACAACGATATTTACTCGTGCTCGTGGGGACCTCCCGACGATGGCCGCTCGATGGATGCGCCCGGCATCTTGATTAAGCGCGCCATGCTCAAGGGTGTTCAGGAAGGCCGCGGTGGTCTCGGCTCCATCTACGTCTTCGCCAGCGGGAACGGTGCGAACAAGGACGATAACTGCAACTTTGACGGTTATACCAACTCGATTTACAGCATTACGGTCGGAGCTATCGACCGGACAGGCCAGCACCCTTACTACTCGGAGAGATGCTCCGCGCAAATGGTCGTCGCGTATAGTAGCGGTGCCGGCGATGCCATCGTGAGTCAATGCGACGACTTTCATGCGAATGAATGTCCGTTTCTCTGCTGTGCAATGAAATCAACTGACTTTTGGTTCCATTTATGTTGTTTTAGCATACGACTGATGTTGGACAAAACACCTGTTACGACCAGCACGGCGGCACCTCGGCCGCTGCACCGCTCGGCGCAGGTGTCTATGCTCTGGTGCTGTCGGTGCGGCCCGACCTGACCTGGAGGGACTTGCAGTGGCTCCAAATGGACACCGCCGTGCCTGTCAATGTGGAAACGGAGGAATGGCAGGATACGGCCATTGGCAAGAAGTTCAGCCACACCTTTGGGTATGGCAAGATTGACGCGTACGCCATCGTGGAAGCGGCCAAGACGTGGAAGAAGGTCAAACCACAATCGTGGTACTTTTCCCCGTGGGTGCACGTCAACCAGGCCATCCCGCAGGGCAACGAAGGTCTGGTGATTGAGCACGAGGTCACGGCAGATGCGCTTAAGGACGCCAATTTGGAGCGTGTGGAACATGTCACTGTCACGATGAATGTGAACCATACGCGGCGTGGTGACTTGAGCGTGGACCTGATCAGCCCTGAAGGTGTGGTCAGCCACATTGCGACGGCGCGTGAGAACGACCAGACCAATGCCGGGTATGATGACTGGACTTTTATGACGGTGGCACACTGGTGAGTAGAGTCTTGTGTTCCTCCTTTTTTCTTTTTTTCTTTTTTCCTTTTTTTCCTTTTTTTCCTTTTTTTCCTTTTTTTCCTTTTTTTCCTTTTTTTCCTTTTTTCCTTTTTTTCCTTTTCCCCCTGTCCCCCCAGAGCGCGGGCTGATTGTTTTAGGGGTGAATCTGGTGTGGGCAACTGGAAGGTGATTATCAAAGACGGAAAGGTGAACGAGCATTCGGGCACCTTTGTGGACTTCCACCTCAAACTGTGGGGCGAGTCCATCGACGCGGCCAAGGCAACGAAGCTCCCGATGCCGAGCGAAGATGATGACAAGGACCACGCCAAGGTGATCAGCTCCACGACGACCATGACGGCCTCGACGACGGTCGTCACGCAGTCGGCGGAAGCACCGGCCACGCTTCCCTCGACGGTCCCGACAGACCAACCGGACCGGCCGAAGATCAAGCCTACGAGCAGCGGCATGGCGGCGGCGGGCTCGGGGGTGGCGCCGACGGAAACAAGCGCGGCGACGCAGACTGGCGAGGCGGCACCGACGACGACGGACTCGAACTGGATATCGTGGCTGCCGTCATTTGGGGTCTCGGGCAAGGCGCAGGTCTGGATCTACGGGGCGGTGGTGCTGATCGTGGCGTTCTGCGTCGGGCTGGTCATCTGGCTGTTCATGGCTCGCAGGCGGAAGCTTCTCAACAACCCGCGCGACGACTACGAGTTCGAGCTCCTCAACGAGGAGGAATCTCAGGGTCTGAACGCCGGGGAGAAGGGCGTGGGGACGGCCGGCGCGAAGACGCGGCGCACACGGGGTGGCGAGCTGTACGATGCTTTTGCCGGGGGCAGCGACGATGAGGATGGGTTTGAGGAGGGGTACACAGACCAGGAGACGTCCAGGAGGACCGAAATCGAACGTAGGAGATTGAGCGATGACGGCCTTGAGGAGGAGCAACGGCATGTGATTGGGGATGACGACGACAGTGACGAGGAGGAGCTGGATGAGAAGCGACACGGGCAATCTTCACGTGCAGTGTGATACGGATGGTATGATTTCTCCCCCCCTTTTTATTTCTTTTTTGGGAGGGCTGTTAATTTACTTGAGCGTATGCATCGTTTGGAAATACCCTCTGTAATATGTCCAGCGTCCTACGTCGTACGGTTGAGGGGCCAGCCCAGCATTATCAGGTTGTTATATGTTGAGGCACCTACGTAGAATAACTCACATAGAACTCATCGTGGTTGACTAGAGGGATTAGGCGTTGATTTGATTGGGTTTTCCATACACTTTCTTGCATCCTATTGATGTCGTGTTCACAACTGTTGCTGCTACTGGACTCCGTGCCTACGTGTACCATGGTGGTAAGGTGAACTTAACTTGGCTTCTGCCCATAGTCGTGCAACCCGAGAGGATAGGAGGATGCTCGGCATGCCTTTTGGTGATGCTTCGAGGTAGATCCGTTTCTTCTGCCTGGCAATTCGTCATTACTAGTCGTCTAGAACCATCGTAAAGCCAGTCGTTTGCCTCTTACTCTATTCTCTTTCGATCTTTTAAATCCTGTTTGGGTTTTATGCTCTCTCCCCCCGTCGGGTTCCTGCACCGTTAGTACACTGAAAAGCGGCTTTTCGCCCGATCAAGTAATTCGTATGCCCAAGTATACTTGAAAGTATGCACCTCGCACAGCTATGGCCTTGCTCGTCGTACACGTGAGCTTTGGTTACGGTATGTATCCGTAAGCCACCTTGGGGGGTGGGGGGGGAGAATCGAGGAGGGATGGGATGATCTGTCAGGTATCATCAGCACAGTGAGTCCGTCTCGCGGTTTACAACGAACAACTGAAGTTACCCTCGAGAGGTCCAAGCCCGAGGTCCAAGTCAGTACCTTTAGGTACCTTAGGTGCCTTAGATACCTACCGCCTCCCAGCCCCGGGGCCGTTTTTGCCCAGCCACCACACAGCCCACAGGGAAGGAAAGCCCAATAATTACGAATACCTACCTAACCCCGTTCCTACCCCAAACGGCCACGACTCCCCTAACAAGGATGGCTAGGCACAGTAACGGAAGAAGGTGGGCCCACGGGCCGGCGCTTCCTTCCTTCCAGCAACTATCAAGAGTCCATAACGCTGCACCAACGACTGCACTGGCGCACTGACGTCTGACATCTTCCACCCCAGTTGTAGCTTCCCAAACGAGAGGACGTAAAAAGGAAAAAAAAAAAAAAAAAAAGAGGAGCAGACGGGACAGAAAAAGAGACTAATATGTAAGCTTCAGCCTCGTCATTTTCCTTCTTCTTTTTACCAGATCTTACCAGCCCTCTCACTTTTTGTTTGAAGGATTGACCACCCATTGTCTACGTCTCGTCTCCGTACTCTCCGCGCCTCGCTTTAGAGACCGTTGGCACTAAAATCCACCGCATAAATTACCTTACGCCTTTACCAAAGTGGAAAGCTTCGACAAAGCCGTTGCTTATTACCCCGAACGGCCCAACCCGGTCATCTTTCAATTTATTAACCTTCTCGACTCCAACGTCTGTCTTTGTACCTTGCATCAGAGGTCTCACTTCTACCACCCACACGCACCCAGTCTTCCCACCTCGCCCCATCCGATTTAACGAGTCGCGTCAAGTCCAATCCGCTTCGATTCATGTCAGTCGCATGTGTCTTTATCGCATTGGCTACCATCTCTAGCATGGAATTTCGCATGCGCCGGTAGAGGGCCCGGTCAACTGTTGTTGAATACGACCAGCCACACAACGTCCATTACGGCGGGTATCTCAAGGTAGATCTCTCTAGAGTCGTTGTTTTTTTCCTCTCTCTCTCTCTTTTTGTTTTTAAATCCTTGCAGGGGAAAGGATTCGTACGGTTCCTGCCCCTCTCTCCTCGCCATGGCCCAATGTCCCACCACTAAAACATTTCCTACCTAGGTACATATTCGTGCGTACATACTCATCTACCTCTTTCGGCAATCCGCTTCGAGTCACCGCCCCGTGCCAACCCTCTCTCGGCCACCCGTTTCCTTGCCATGACCTCTACTCACCCATACTGGGGTTCCCTACCAGCCCCTGGCCCGGCCGAAAGACACCGGAGGCTTGATTCGATGGATGGCCCACACCAGTTGCTGGCTGCCAGGTCCAACCGCGCCTCGACCCAGACCACATATACGACCAATACCGAAGCTCCTACCGAGTCCACCACCATGAGCCCTTTCGTTTCTCCCACCCCTTCCGCCTTTGGAGCACAGGGACTAGCTCCTAGACCGCCTTTCTTTCCCTACGCCGCCTCGCAACCACCTCCTTCCTCCGAATCCACAGACAACCGCCAGCGCCGTCGCAGTCAGAAGAGCGAGGACCTCGATCCACCTACCGGCCCCGCTCCACCCGCGGCTCCCGATGTTCCCCAGCCGCCACCTACAAGCTACCGTAGTCCACCCGGCAGCGCGAGCTACTTCGCTGGCCCCCCGCGGTCATCGCAACCGACCTCCCCGGCTTTCAGCCCAAACAGCATGCAGCAGTTCAATGGCTACCCTGCAAACCAGCAACCACCAGAGCCGGAGACTAGGCATCATGCTGCCCACCAGAGTAGGCCGCCCCCGGTCAGGGCCGCCGTGAAGAGCAATGGCCATGCTGCGCCATCCGGTGGCCCCGGTCAACCTAGGAGAGGACCCACAACCCGCAGAGTGTCCGCAGACGTCCGCTCTCCGCTGCAGAAGCTCGAGCTGACGCTCGACAGCATCACCAAGGAGGAGAAACGCGCCCGAGTGGAGGCCGCCGAGAGGCGACTAAGAGAGAAGTCGGCCGCTAACACCGACCTCTTACAACCACTAATGCGCAACCGTTCGGCAGCCAAACCACGTCAGCCGCAGCAGGCGCAGAAGCCGCAGCAGCACAACCAGCACCAGGAACGGCAAGTACAGCAGCAGAACCAGCAACAGCAACCGCAGCAGCAACAGAGCGAGCCACATAGGGAACGACCTGAAGAGAACAACGCAGGGCACCATGACGAGTATTATGGGGGACAACAAAGGGAACGCCATCCTGAGCAGCCCCAGCCCCAGCCCCAGCCCCAGCCCCAGCCCCAGCCCCAGCCCCAGCAGCCCCAGCAGCACCTAACTTCCCAGGTTCACCACGTGCGTTTCCAAGACCGAGCGGAATCCATTGGACAAAAAGATCACCGTGAGCATCAGTTGCAAGAGGCGCCAATCGTGTTGCCACAGAGGACCGCGTCGGCCAACACCAGGGAGCCCGCCCCCGCCGATTATTCAGAGAACGGTAGATCATATGGCGCTGCTGTGCCTGAGAAGCACCAGAGAGGTCTGCCAACCGCGATGAATGCTCCATATGGAAGTCAGAGAGCGACCCCTTCCATTCCGCAGCGGAATTTGAGTTTCCGTGAACGTGCTGCGAAGAACGACGACTTGCAACTCCCCAGCGCCGATGCGCGAGGCAACAGTATGGAGGCCGCTCGGCCGTTTGCACCACCTGCCACAACTTCGTCGACTCGTCGACGCTTCTCTCTCACGAGAAGCGGCAGTAACAAGCTCAGGAAAGAACCGCGCGGTGACCCGTGGTTTAGTAGGCGCATAAAAGCAGAAAATAGGTATGACGACGTATCCAACCGTAATGCTTCCATGGACCAGACCGCGGTTGCCATGGGGGCTATGCCGCCAGGCGGCGGTGCTCCAGGGCCATCAGTGCCGGCATCTCTTCGCGCTCAACCGCCACCCCCCGGCCCGGGTAGTCCTTCAGAAGAGAGCCATCCGCCACAGAGACCCATACAGCCTCACATCCCAAGCAAGGCTGCCAGGTTGGCAGGCATCGATACCAGAGACACACCGCCTCGAACAGCAGCTCCCGTCGCTCGCCAGACTGCGTATGAAGAGGCAGTTACTGATGACGATGATGACGATGATTCATTATTCCCTCCCACTATGGTTGGGAACAGAGATGTTGCCGCAGCCGCTGCTGGAATGAATGGTGCTCATGCAACAGCCGGGAAGCAACAGCTCGTGCAACGTGACCATCGACAACAACCGGCCCAAGAGCCATCTCGTCACACTGCGGCCGTGCCAAGTCAGAAAGGGGGCCTAGCCCCTCATATTTACGGACTGTACAGGCGACCGAGGTACCTTGACGAATGGAAGACTGGGACAACTGGAACCCTAGCTGGAACTCTACTTGACCTAACTGAAGACCACCTCCCGGTGATTGATAAGAACACACCGTGGTGGGAAGGTGGCGGCAACCGACGAAGGTCCAGCGTCAACTCCCGACCCAGGAAGGCGGAAGCCTTTGACGGCGAATATGACGAGAACGGTGAGTTGGGCTTACATGGGCAGACTAGAAAAGCCCAAGCTAATACCCCGTGCTCCCCAGCACCGACGCGATTCAAACCGCCGCTGTATCTCAAGTGCGGTCCGTTGCTGCGCTACTGCGGCATCAGGCACGAGAAGGCCCCCGCCTCCCGTTCAACGCGCAGCAATGTTTCCGCTTCCGACAGGGAGATTTGGAGAGGCTCCGTCATGATCGTAACCCAGGACTCTGAGTCCAAGTATGGCATTGCTCCGACTTTGCGACTCTTCCTGCAGCCGATAGAGCTCCTACCCCCGCCCCCTCAGGAGCTCCACGGCGGACAGTCCCTTCCTCCTGAGCATGTCGATCCCATAGCTGGCATTCCGAAGGTCGGAAGGCGGGGAGAGACGCTTTACGCCCGCCCGGTCGAGCATCTAGACGAGGCCAAAGATCTTTCTAGGGACGAGACGGACGAGGGTCTGTTCGAGTCTGCAAGGAGCCCGCCTGATTGTCCACTGCCCGACGGCGCGACCGACCTTCCTGGGTCGTTCTCTAGTCGCTTGCGACGCGCCGAGACCGACGGAGAACGGCTGTCCAAGTACAAAGACGTTCGGGGATTCCGCCTGCATGCTGAGAGGGGATACACCTTTTGGCGGTTCAATATTGAGGTGGAACTCCGCGAGACACAGCAGCGGATTGCGTACCGCATCAACAGGGGTCCGGCGACGGGCTTCTGGGTCCCCGCGCGAGGCCAGTCGATGAACATCATGTTCCACAGCTGCAACGGGTTCAGCATGAACGTCAACCCGGATGACTTGAGCGGTCCAGATCCTATGTGGCGCGACGTCCTCAACACCCATCAAACGCAGCCCTTCCATGTCATGATCGGTGGCGGGGACCAGGTTTATAATGACTGTCTGGTAGGCGAGAGCGAGTTGTTTAATAGGTGGCTAGACATCGAGGATCGACAGCAGAAACGCACCGCACCCTTCACACCGGAGATGCAGGAAGAGCTCGAGTGGTTGTATCTTGAGCGATACTGCCAGTGGTTCTCCCAGGGCTTGTTTAGCCTCGCCAACTCGCAGATTCCCATGGTTAACATGTGGGACGACCATGACATCTCGGACGGCTATGGGTCCTACGCGCACGAAGATCAGAACTCGCCTTGCTTCGCCGGTCTCGGCGCGGTGGCTTTCAAGTACTACATGCTGTTCCAGCATCAGAGCATTCCGGATGAGCTGGTTACGACGGAGCCGAGCTGGTTACTCGGGCAGAAGCCGGGGCCTTATATCAACGAACTGAGCCGCAGCTTGTTCATGTCCCTGGGCGCCAAGGTTTCCCTGCTGGCCGTGGATGCCCGCACGGAGAGGACCGCGTCCGACGTTGTCAGCGAGGATACATGGAAATTGATCATGGACCGGTGTTACGAGGAGGTCAAGCGGGGCGCCACGGACCATCTACTGGTGCTCCTTGGTGTGCCGATTGCGTACCCAAGAATGGTTTGGCTTGAAAATATGTAAGCTCGTTCATTTACCCCCGTCTCCCAGTTGCTTTTCACTCCTGCTAATGGGTTTGACTCTTTAGCTTGACGTCACGGATTATGGACCCCGTCAAGGCCATCGGCAAGCTCGGCCTGCTCGGCAAGGCGTTGAACCGCATCGACGACGGAGTGGAAGTCCTGGATGACCTGAACGATCACTGGACCTCGTCTGGCCACAAGAAAGAGCGAGCTGTCGTGGTCGAAGATCTCCAAGACTTGGCCGCCGACAAGTCGGTGCGCGTCACCATCCTCAGTGGCGATGTTCATCTGGCGGCCGTGGGCCAGTTCTATGCCAACCCCAAGCTTGGACTACCTAAACACAAAGACTTCCGCTATATTCCTAACATTATCTCATCCGCCATCGCCAACGCGCCGCCGCCGAATCTAATCGCTGACGTACTCAACAAGCGCAACAAGGTGCATCAGTTTGACGAGAACACCTTCGAAAGCATGATACCGTTGTTCCAAGACGGCGTCGACGGCAAGCCGAGGAACAACAAGCACTTGCTTCCCCACCGTAACTGGTGTTCCATTAGGGAATGGAAACCCGGAATGACGCCACCTCCAACGCCGCCTTTGCCGGATGACGATGAATACACCGGCCCGCAACCTCCGGCTCCCATGAACGGCGGTAGTGGTATTACGCGTCGGTCGTCTAAGTCTCAAAAGACGCCGGCAGAGCGCGATCAGCGACCGCCCACTTCAGGCGGTCGCATTGGTAGCCTGTTCCGCCGCTTTTCACGGCGCGGCTCGGTCTCCTCCCCCCAGCAGCCAACGCCTTCAGCTCCCGTGACTCGGACGATGTCCCTGACGCGCGGCGAGTTCACCCCACGAGGTTTCTTTGGAAGCCGCGGACAGCGTAACAAGCGACCGGATGATGGCGGTATTAACGGGCAATGGGGCGACTCGGAGAGCGGCGTCGACGATGATCCCTATGGCGGCGCGCCCGACATCCAGAGAGGGATGAGCCTCCGCGGTGGCAGCGGAAGGCCTCAGAACGACGAATATGCTCCGGGAGACGAGCAATATTTCACGGCGAGGCCAACGGAAGTGACGCCACATGCGAAGCAGGAGCCCGAAGCGCCCATCAAGCCTTTCCTCCGTACGCCGACGGGCCTGTCGACGAAGCAAATCAAGAAGGGCGGGGCTGCAGCGTACCAAGTCGACTTGGAGGGCGGGCTCGATATCACGATAAACGTCGAGGTCAACGCCCGAGATCCCGCCGGCATCACGGTACCGTACCGGCTCCTCGTGCCGCGGCTGTTCTGGGATGAAGACGAGGACGGACAAGCACTGGAGGCACCGCCGCCACCTGCGCCGACGGGGTTTAAGCGGTTCTTGAGTTTCAGGAAGAAGCAGAAACAGGCGGAACCTGAGCCGCAGGCCATACCACATTCGCAGTCCGTGCCGGTGAGCCAGGAGCGTGTCGCCGGCGGCAGTGGAGGCGGAGGCGGCAGAATGAGCTTCGACGTGGGGCCCGGGCAACAATACCAATACCAACCCCCGCCACAACATGCACGGCCTACGACGTCTCGGGGCGAGAGGCCACCGCCGCAGTTCTATTACCCAGCTCCTCCCGCTGCCCCACAAAACCAACAGCAGTATCCAGGATACCAATTCGAGAGCGCACCTCCTGCCGGCCGGGAGGTGATAGATTATGATGATTACGATTCTGATGCCGAGAACGGTCGATACGACAACCCGCCGGGCAGGTACCAATACGAAAGTTGAAAGAGGTCTCTGGATACCCCTATGAAGACGGGGGCCTCTCTAGTCGTTTTGGATTTATATTTTTCCGTCTTGGATTTAGAGGACGCTTAATTTTAGCATTTCAGTCATGTAGCAACATACATAGCACGGTGTTTTGTGTTCCTCATTTAGTCTGCCAAATAGAAACGAGCGCATTTGTTATTTTCCAACCGCAGCTGTCTAAACGGATCACAGAAGTTCTAATTGCCGAGATGGGAAGAACGGACAGAGGCCATCGACGTACCCAATTTGATCTCGAAATCTCAAAGAGGCATATGATGAGGCATGTCACAACGCCAGATTCACAGTCAAAGGGGGAGAAGGCTTAGACTCCTGACATATTAGTGCTAGCCAGAGACGATTGCCAAAGTTCTGGTGCGGATAATCAATTTATTGTGTCCATCTGGAAGAGGATTAAAGTCAGCCGAGGAATTCGCAGGGAAACATGAAGTTGTCTGATTGGAGTGATGACTCGAGGTTGGACGTACCTCATCAAACGTTGGCTCACACGCCGACATGATAACATATCGGCTCAAAGACCTTTCCCGGTTACGGAATATTGAAACCCGGGCACTTTCCCGCTCTCACAACGGGAGAGGACGCGCGAGGCTCACCCATCTCCCAGGACTTTCCAGGCGGTCGAGAAGGGTTCCCAGGCTAGAGCTCTGTAGATGGCTGTTCAGCCATATTCCTTTTCACACTGGCGACCCCCAAACCAAGTCAACCCAACGTCCCAACTTTTATGTAGCCTTCTCTATGATACTCCATTTCGTCGAAGGCTTGGAATAGGAATAGTCCACCGATGGGATGGGGGAAGAAAAAAAGTCCACCCAACGCCTTTCTTTTGTTGTGGAATCAACAGTCGCTCTCGGAATCACTCGACATCCCCGTCTCCGTCGCCGTTTCGGTCAGGGACAGCGCCTGGCGTGCGGCTCCGGCTACGACTCCGGCCGCGGCCGCGATTCAGCGCACGACCGCCGCCGCCGCCGCCGCCGCCGCCACCCTGGTGGTGTCTGGAGGCGCGATCGGCCTTCCCTGGCGGGGGGCGCACGAACGCAAAGTCGACGTTGACGGTGAGGTCGAGGAGCTTGCTCTTGTGGGCGTCGTCGATGGCGGCGCGGGCTTCCTGGAGGGTGGCGTATTCGATCAATGCGTAGCCCTGGAGGAGAAGAGAAGAAGAAGCAAGCACGTCAGTCCTGGATTCTGTTTGTTCTAGTGGGATTTTCTTTTTCCTTTCTTTCTGCGTCGACGGGGCTATGCGGAAGAAAACTTGCCTTCACATAACCGCTCCTTCGGTCCAGGTTGAGATGCAGGTTCTTGATCTCGCCGTATTCGCCAAACTTGTCGTGGATGGCCTCCTCGTCGGCCTCTTCGTGGACGTTGGTGACGATGATGATCCAGCCTTCGATGGACCGGACGGCGGTGGCGCGGGAGTGGGTTTGCATGGCGGCTTGGTTGGGGCCGGATGCCGCGGGGGCGGAGGAGGCCTCTTGCTCCTGTTGGGGTTCGTCGACGTCCATTTCTACGTCGGCCATGGTGGGCGAGCTTGAGAGAGGGGGGTGGATGTTGTTGGTGTAATGGGAGTGGGAGTTGTGGTCTTCGAGTCTGGTAGTGTTTAGTTGACGGCTTCTTTTTCTGTCCCCGTCGGGAAATGTGACGTCTAATTTTTCAAGTCTCCCGCAATGTCTGAATTGGATGATAGTTGTATCACGAGAGGCACGAATTCGGGAGATCAAATGAAGCTCGGGCTCTGCTCTGCTCCCCGTCTAGGTAATTTCCCCCACCATCAATCGTGGTGGGCGGGACTGCAATGCCGGAAAAGCTATATCTCCGCGTACCGACATCGTGGTCACTTGTACACGTTTACCTAAGGTACTCGTGATCCGCAATCAGTCAATGGTGCCGGACCCACTATAATCCACTATATATATGGCTCTCCCCTCGCTCACTTTCTGTTTTCTTTTCCTTTTTCTTCTTCATACTTACCTTGTTCGATTCAGAGGCGGTCATGAAAGCCACTGAGTAAGAAGGAGGGCCTGCATTGCACATCGCGGAGTCAGCTTTTTTCGATTGTCCTTCGGGGCCATCGCGGGCGCAATTTTTGTTCTACTATTCAAGACCTTGTGTGGATTTGAATTTTCGTTTTCATTATAGTCGCTGCTTAATGTAGCGCTATGAAGAAGATGCTTACCATTGACGGCTGACGCTCGCCTCCAAATATCGCGTAGTCAAAATAAGAGGGGAAAAAGCCAACTGATAGGGTCTGTGCTGGCAGTCTTCTGGGTACCTGTTCACGTTTCGCGTCCATGTCATGTGACTACGCGTCAACGGCGCGAATTTATGTTTCACGTAGTTGCAGACAACACCGAAAATATTCCACCTTCAATATTAATAACCTACCTACCCCCCATACCTCTTCGTACGTCATTCCAACAAAGATAGTCATCAACACCTGCTTCTGCTTCAAGGACCGAAGAACCACACGGTCTCCTTCACTGTTCTCTTCTGACCTCCTCGTATTCGCTCGTTCTTCCTTCATCCTGGTCCCTATGAGGCAGTAGGGCCAGCGCAACAACTTCATCACCATGCACCCCGTCTTTCAACTCCCCGAGGAAATCTTGATTTCAACCTTGAACCAAAAGTTTCCGTGCCGCGAACCCCAGATTAGGTCGCTGGCAACTCTTCTCCACGTAAGTGTCACTGATGACCCATCCTGGCGGTCTCCTTCCCATGCCCATGCAACCAAGTCCTGCAACCAAGTCCTACGCCGAGCATGGATGATTGTGGCCAACACGCTTCTTCCAGCCTCACGCCGCCCCCTGTCGCAACCTCGTCCTCTACGGCACCGAAGCCACCGGCAAGTCGAGTATAGTCGAGGCCGTCCTGCAAGGCCTTCACATATCACCATCTGTGTCTGTCAATGATCACGATGGCGAGGTCCCTGCCGACCACTCGTCTCTCCTCTCCTATGCCATCCTCAACTCCGTACAATGCATAACCGCCAGGCATCTCTTCGAAAGAACCCTCAGCGCTGTGGCCGATGCCCTTGATTATACCTCTCGCGCGAAGAAATGCGAGTCCATGTCGCAGCTCACCGTCGAGCTGTCCAGGATGCTCAAAGACCACCCTCGGTCCGATAGCTTTCGATTCGTCCTCGTCTTCGACTCGATTGATCGTCAACGCGACGTCCCTGCCACTCTTCTTCCCGCCTTGGCCCGCCTGCCGGAAATCGTAAGCCATCTGCTTTCCTCGCTTCCTCGCTTCCTCGCGGCATTGGGGCCTTCACAAGGCTTCCCTTCTTCACGCAAGCCGTTCCTCCAGCTAATCCGAAGGAAACTCGTGACACAGATCCCACGCCTAACCTGCGTCTTCATCCTCACCCATCCTCCCGCTGGCTTTCTGAGGGCCTCACTTGTGGTGCCTTCGATTCACTTCCCCAACTACACCAAATCCGACTTTACCAAAATTCTCTCCTCTACGCCGCCTGCCACGCTTCCAAATATGACAGACGATGACATACACTTTCTATGGCCGCGATTCTGCAACGCCGTCCACGATGCCGTTACCGCTTCCGCTTCCCGGACTCTCCCTTCGTTCCGTCGCGCCTGCGAGGCCCTCTGGCCGCGCTTTACAGCTCCCATTGTCGCCGGCACCCACGGCCCCCGCGAATTCTCCAAGCTGGTCATTGTCGCCCGCCACCACTTCCAAGACGAAGCCCTACTGAACCCGAGCATTATTTCCGTCGTTGCCACGAACAATACCAACGACGATGTCGACAACAATGCCACTCCCGGTACCAACGCAGCCCCGACCAAGGGGCACGGCACACCCGCGAAGCGCACCTCCGTCGCCGCCACGCGCTCACAGCAACCCGCACAAGCACAAGCACAAGCACAAGCACAAGCACAAGCACAAGCACAGGCAGGAACTCCAGACATAGCCAACCTCCTCCCCACCACAGCCCGCCTCCTCCTCCTCGCCGCCTACCTCGCCTCCCACAACGCGTCGCGCCACGACCTGACCCTCTTCTCCACCTACCAGCACGGCCGCCGCCGCCGACGCGGAGGAGGAGGCGTCGGCTACGCGGCGGCCACGCGGCGCACCAAGCACCGCAAGATCGCCCGGAAGCTCCTCGGCGCCCACGCCTTCGTGCTGGAGCGCATGATGGCCATCTTCGCCGCCGTGCGCACCGAGTGGATCGCCGGCGGCGGGAGCGGGAGCGGGAGCGGCATGAACATGAGCATCGGCGCCGCCGGGCTGGACGGCGATGTGGGCGCCGCTATCGCCACGTTGGCCAGCCTGCGGCTCCTCGCGCGTGTGGGCGCCGCGGCGGACGTTATGGATCGTGGTGGGAAGTGGAGGGTCAATGTCGGCTGGGAGGTCATACGCGGGGTGGGGCGGAGCATTGGCGTGGAAATCGAGGATTGGCTTATTGACTGAACGGAGAGCTTTTTCTTCTTCTTCTCTTTCATCTGGAACTCATTGTGATGGATTTTGGGTGGGAAGACCTGGGAAGACCTGCACGAGTCAAGCGGCATGGGCATGGAAATACAACAGTCCAGACATTCAAGATTTCTTCTATACAGATGCACACGTCTATCTACCTTGGCTATATAAGCGTCCACTTCCACCATAGCGCGTCTTGCGCGATGAGAATAACAGAGAGGCAATAGAGTCATTCACCGGCTCAACCGGCATTAGCAGAACCTCTCGTCATTTGCATCTTCCGTTGCGCAAAAAAAAAAAAAAAAAAAAAAAAGAAGAAGAAAAGAAAAGAAAAGCAGTCGTCGAAACCATCGCCCCCCGAAAGTTCGAAAACGCCAATGCACTATCTTTCGTTTCCTCCCGTCCGCATTCAGACATTCGTTTAGTTGGCATTTTCTCATAATTTGTCTGCTTTTTTTCTATTTTTTTCTAGGCGGGCCCTTTCTTTTTCACCCCATAACGGTCTTAACCAGGACGCCAACTGGCCAAGTCGAACCGCATGCCCGAGGGTAGGTCGGTCTCCATGCGTGTCTTTCAAACTCCCATCCTGCGCCTGGCTTGGGAGATGTTGACGGAGAGAAACAACACAGTAATGATAATATAAAAGAAGAAGAAGAAAAAAAGAAAAAAGAACCAAAAAAAGAAGAACAACAAGGTAAACAGACACAAATACACGGCCGGCGTGATAACAGCGACTCAGAGCCCGACCTTCCTGTCGCCTGCCCGCCAGGTATCTTCCTGTTTGGTCCCCGGAGCAAGCCACACAGCGGCGCCGGCCGCCAGCCCAGCGCCATCGGTCTTCTTAAAAGAATCGTCGCCGTTCGGCCTGAAACCCGCCGAAGTGGGCAACGGGCTCTCAAACAGACGGGGGCTCTGGCTGGACGACGACGACCTACCACCCGCGCTGTTCGTATCGAGGGGCAGCAGCGGCTCCTCTTTGATCTCCATGAGTTGGGCCTTGCGGTCGGCCTTGTCCCGGTCGTGGGTGCGGTCGTAGAGGTACAGGCCCAGGAAAGTGAGGGCGATGCCGACGCCCTGGGCCATGGTGGTGGGGTTCCGGAACCAGATGATGGCGATGACGATGACGAAGACGCGCTTGATGAGGCTGGCGACCGAGTAGGTCACGGGGGAGACGATGGAGAGGAGGCTGAAGGCCAGGATGTTCTGGCCGAAATGGCAGGTCCCGTTGAAGAAGAACTCGAGGGCCAGGCGGCCGTGGTCGAAGCCTGCCGCCGGCTCGGCCGGACTGGCTCGCAGGAGACGCTGCACGATGCCGACGCCCTCGGACCAGAACCAGATGGGGAGGGTCAGGACGAAGGCCATGCCGGACGAATAGCAGAGCAGGTTCAGCTTGTCCAGCTTCCTCGACCGGGCCGACATGCCGGCTGCTTCGGCTTTGGCGGCTTCGTTGAAGAGGCGTTTGGAGAAGATGTTCTGGGTGACGAAGATGATGGTGGCGAGCAGGGCCGAGAGGACGCCCAGGAGCTCACCGCCGTACTGGCTGCTGTGCTTTCCGGAGCAGGCCAGCATGACGCCCAGGGTGAGAGGTATGAGGGACAGGTAGGTGTTGGTCGAGTAGCGGATGTTGTAGACGAATCTGTAGGCCAGGACGGTGAACAAGGGCGAGAGGCCCTTGATGGTGTGGACGAGAGATACGGGGATCTGGGAGGTGGCCGAAGAGCTGAGGAGATGGCCGAAGATTTGGAAGGCGGCGAGTGGGAGGGTGGTCAAGATGACATCGCGCGTCGGGGGGCGGATGGCGTATTTGAGCGCCGGCACGCGGGTCTTGAGGGCGGGGAAGACCGAGGCGAGCCAGGAGGAGAAGAGGCAGTAGGAGGATACGAAGGCGAACTGGATGACGGTGAGGGTCGCGGGCTTCGACCAAGCCGTCAATATAGACTTGGACGATGTGTTGGTCAAGGCAGACGAGGTATACCACATGAGGCAGAGGATCTAGAGGCGAAAAGGAAACAAACGTCCTTGGGTCAACAACTGTCGTTCGTCGCGCGCCAGTCACAACGAGAGAGAATGAATGGCAAGATAGGGGTAGGCCGGCGTACGTACAATCAGGGTCGGGGACACGGGGGCCCGCAAAGCCTCTGCAATCTCCTGAGCGTTCTGGGTCACGCTACCACGTCGGGACCGTATTGTTCGGAAGGCCTCGGTGAGGCTCTTCTGGCGTGAATGAGCACGGGCGTGACCGTGGCCCGGCGGGCCCTGGAGTTGGAGTTGGAGTGGTTGGCCCGACGCGTCCCATCGTACGGTGCGGCTATCGCGCCTAGGAAGCCAGCGATCGCGGGGTGTGTCCGAGCCGTTGGGGGCGACGATGCCGTGTACCCTGATGGGGCTGACACCTCTAGCTCCATGGGATGTGGTAAACTCGGAGTCGACGAGGTCGGGAAACTTCTCCATGTTGGTTCACGCGGCCCTCGGCAGCGGGAGGGGGGAGACGATGAGGTGGGAAAAAAAAGAGAAAGAAAGGCGCAATTCTAGTGAATCGCGACGATCAGGGCATTGTCCTATCCTGCCGTCCTGTGAGGGAAGAAGATATGACCATAGACGGGGGGCCTGATGGCGATGGCAACGATGGGGAGTGTGATGGACGGATGATCGAGAACGCGAAGGTTTCAGTTTGAAAGCAAGGGAGCGATAGGAAGTCGTCGGATGGAGGTGTTGAAGACTCGAAGGCGGACGGATGTGCAGATGGAGATGCAGATGGAGAGAGATGCAGATGCAGATGCAGATGAGACGGAGCCACGTTCGCTTATCCCATCGGACGACCCGAGTCAAAGTATCCGTACGTAGTCCTGGTGTCGTTATGAAGGTATTCTGACGGTAATCGTCGGCCGTGATGGATGGAGCACGAAGTATTACAACGTGCGGATACTTCGTAATAGTCGGATTGCCAATTCCTGGATGCCGTCGAATGGGGGCGCGGCATTGCGCCGCGTGGAATCTTATCTATCAATAACCAATCAACTATTTCTTAAGAAACTCGGGACCCGAATGCCTTACGTTGTACACGTACAAGGTATACGGTGTGTGTCCAGGTCATATCGATTACAATACTGTATACTTTCTTCGACTTTCCGGTACTCGAGGATGCTGAGCCACACTAGGTGCTAAGGTACGTACCTTATCAATCAGCTCAGGCGAGGCTCAGCTCAAGCAAAGCTGCTTCGAGTGCAAGTGCAGAGTGGCGCGTCAAACTTTACGAATACTTCGTATCAGGTCCCCGCGAGACGACCAAGATTTACCCAGAAACCACCTACAAGTCGCGGCCCCCAAGCGACACCCAACGGTTCTTCAGCTATCTACCACATAGGAACACGTTTCACCCTTTTGCCAATTCTTCGGCTTTCGGATTATTTACTACCTACTACTACCATATGCGAGATCCCAGGAAGCAGCGCATCATCAGCAGGGGTCTCGTTCTCTTTGCGATCGTCCAGCTCATCACCCCGAAGCAATCACCTTCACCTTCCCTCTCCCTCTCGTCGAATTCCAATTTCCATTCCAATAATCATTCATCAACATGGCGGTCCCAAAGATGACCAAGAACCAAATGCGGCGGGCCAAGAAGAAGGAGCAGAAGAAGGCACAAGCAGAGGTTCGTCCTGATCATCCATTTCGCTCCTCCTTTCTTCCTTCGTCTTCCCTTCGTTCTTTTCTTCCTTTTGCCATCTCTTCTCTCTTCTCTCGTCTCTCGTCTCTCGTCTCTCGTCTCTCGTCTCTCGTCTCTCGTCTCTCGTCTCTCGTCTCTCCTCTCTCCTCTCTCCTCTCTTCCCTCCCCCGTATTTCTACTGACCGCGGCCGATATTTCTACAGGTTGCCACGAAGACATCAGAAGCTACCCAAGACCAAAAGCCCGAAGAGATCGTCAACGGCGAACAAGAGCAATCCGCTGCAGCCGCGCCCGATGTGACGAAAGAGAACGACTCAAACGATGCCGATACCAATGGTGCACCGCAACAAGAACAAGAACCCGCCGAGGTCGAAGATGCACAGGTCGAACCCGACTACGACGACCAGGCCCTGTCCCTCTATAGAGACGTCTTCAAAAGGTTCGGCGCGTCATTGGAAGAAGACGACGTCGCGAAAGAAGCCAACGCCGGCAACACCGGTGAAGTGTTCTTCAACGAGGACGACGAAATCCCAAGCGAAGACGAGGAAAACCAGGGCGGCCAGACCAGGTTATCCAAGAAGAAGCGCAAGCAGCTCAACAAGCTCTCCATCGCCGAACTCAAAGCCCTGGTCAAGATCCCCGAGGTTGTCGAGTGGCAAGACGTGTCGTCCTCGGATCCGCGCTTGCTCGTGCAGATCAAGGCCCAGCGGAACGTCGTCCCCGTCCCCACCCACTGGTCGCTCAAGAGAGAATACCTCTCGTCCAAGCGCGGCATCGAGAAGCCCCCCTTCAGGTTGCCCGCCTTCATTGCCGAGACGGGCATCACCGAGATGCGGGACGCCGTGCTGGAGAAGCAGGAGCAGCAGTCGCTGAAGCAGAAGCAGCGAGAGAGAGTCGCCCCGAAAATGGGCAAGCTGGACATCGACTACCAAAAACTATACGACGCCTTCTTCCGCTTCCAGACCAAACCCCCGCTCACCCGCTTCGGCGAGGTCTACTACGAGGGCAAAGAGAACGAGGGGGATTTCCAGCACTTCCGCGCCGGCGAGCTCTCCGAGGGCACCAAAGAAGCCCTCGGCATGCCACCCGGCGCTCCGCCCCCCTGGCTCATCAATCAGCAGCGATACGGGCCCCCTCCGTCGTATCCGACCCTCAAGATCCCCGGCCTCAACGCTCCCCCGCCGCCCGGCGGCTCCTGGGGGTTCCATCCTGGCGGTTGGGGCAAGCCCCCCGTCGACGAGTTCAACCGGCCGCTCTACGGCGGCGACATCTTCGGCCTCGGTAACCAGGCAGCGGTGGCGGCGGCGGGTGCCACGGGTGCCACGGGTGCCGCGCCTGGCGGACCCCAAGCGCAACCGGCGGTCGTCGCCCAACCCCTACCGACCAGCGAACCGGCCGACAAGACCCTGTGGGGCGAACTGCAACCAAGGGAAGAAGAAGAGGAAGAGGAAGAAGAGGAAGAAGAGGAGTCGGACGAGGAGGAAGACCAAGACATGCCCGGCGGCGGCACCGAGACCTCCACCGGCCTGGAGACGCCCGCGGGGATGGCCTCCAGCGTACCGACCGACTTTGCGGGCCACGGCGTCGAGACGTCCATCGCCGGCGAGCTCGACCTGCGCAAGCAGCGCCGCGGCTTCGACACGGAGGAGAGCTCCCACCCGCGCGCCGCCTACCAGGTCATCCCCGAACGCCAGCAGCGCACCGATGGCTTTTTCGGCAGCGACCGCGTCTACGAGCTCCCCGCCCAGCAGCAGCAGCAGCGGTCCGCAAGCGGTGCCCCCCACCTCCCCGTGCTCGGGCAGGAAGACGACGGCGGGCGCAAGCGCAAGAAGCCCGGCGACGTGGACGTGGCGCTCGACCCGGAGAGCTTGCAGAGCCACGACGGCATCGGCAAGGAGGAGTTGCAGCGGCGGTTCGAGGAGGGCCGCCGCCAGGAGGGCGTCGGCGCCAAGTGGAGCTACGAGGAGGACCTGTCCGAGATGATCGCCCAGGAGTCCCGGAAGCGGCAGAAGGTGGAAGAGAAGCGGAATGAGAAGAAGAAGGAGACCAAGTACAGGTTCTAAAAGAAAAGAAGAAAAAGAAAGAAGAAAAAAAAAACGGAGGAGCGTTAGGGGGGTTGAAGCCGCGTGTGATCGATCCCCGTGACTAGGGCGGACCTGCGGTCTTGCGTTGTATCATGTCAGAGTCTTTCCTTTTGCCTTTTTCCCTTTATTCCTTTTTCATTCTTTTTTTTCTACTTAAAACGGGCGATGCTCCCCGTTGGTTCAATGGCGTTCTAGGATGGACGGCGGTGGGCGGGAGAGCAAAAATCAGAAAAACAGATCACCACCCTATATGTGACGATATGCAGTTGTCTCTGAATTCAAGCCTTCTGGAACAGGGACAGGGGGAATGCTTACATTGTATTACCTTACTTCGACAATGATGCCTACAACTACATGTAGCTGGTTACTAACTGCCTTACCTAGGATGTGGGCATCACGCTGATCAACCAACCTAGGCAAGACAGACTCCATATTCGTCTCCGAGCGGGAAAAGACCATTTCAAGTTGATCCGTCAGGTTGGCCAAGACACACGACAGGGATGGTCTTTTAACTAGCCCCCCCCCCCTAAATTCTCCGTCTTGACGCCAACGGCATTCCCGGGGACCTTTCTCCGTTCTCTTCCAGTTCATGCTCCCGTCATCTCTCTCTCTGGCGCAGTCTTCCAGGATGACGTCGAATTCGGGGCTGGCAAGGCTGAACGACCTACGTCCGCTCTGCCTCCGGAATGTCGACACACGTGTTGCAGACCCAATCATCCTCGTGGACATCCATCTTGGCGTTCTCCCGGATACAATTCGAGTGGTATATGCGTCGCTTGCAAGCCTACAAGGGGTTAGCTCGTTGTGAGCATAGGATATGGGCATATAATGTACCCAGCTGTCGTTACTCACGGGGTTAGAGCACACGAGCAACCGCGGCCCCAAAACCTGCTGGTTGCAGACTTGGCAGTTGGCCGCGCTCTTGCGAGCCTGGTGCTCCTTGGACGACGGTCGCGGTGGTCCGGTCGGCTGGCCGTCGCGTTCTCGGTGCCTGAGTCTCGCCCGGGCGGAGGCAACGACCCGGAAGGCCTCCTGGATCGTCTTGTCGTTGAGCACGTCCCTCATCAAGAGGTAAGACAAATGCTTCCCGAACTCGGTCATTCGGGACGCCGAACGAACCAACCAGTCGGCCTTGAGCTTGACGAACTCCAACCAGGACGACGGCAAGAAGGCGTCTGTGGCGATGCGCTGGGTGAGCATGAATTCGTCCCAGGTGGTCATGAACTCCCGCTCCTCGGGGGGGATGTCGGAAAAGTCCTCGATGGCCTCGCGATGCCACTGAACGAGCCATCTGTCGTCGGGTTTGAGTCTGTGAAACACTGTTCCCGGCTCGAGCGGGGCCCGGCTGAGCGGGTCGTAGAGCGGCTGCGAGGTCTTGGGTATGATGATCTTCTGGGGCTCGGGAACGGGTGACGCGCCTCGCCAAGCGGGCAAGCTTTTCGTCTTCGATCTACCGTTGCGGACATGATCCGAGTAGTCGTCGCCGGGTTTAGGACGGGCCCGGTTGCCGGAGTCTGAGCCATCTTCTTCTCTGTCGTCGAAGGAGGGGTATAGGCCGAAGGCCTTGGTGGGCAACGTGAATTCGTACATCTGTGGGTCGAAGGCGGCAGTCGCCTCGGCCCGATGAGACACTTGAAAATGGACGCCCTTGGCGGTGGACTGGGCGATATATTCGTACTCGGGATGCTGCCACTCCAAGTGGGCTTGCAGCTGTTTCAAAGATGCGTGGGAGTTGCCGCATGTCACGCATCGAAACGACGAGAGATGAACCTGCTCGGCTGGCAGGTCGTATGAGATGCGCGAGATGCGGCCACTCTCCGCGACATCTACGTTCTTTCGTTTTCTCCGGGCCCTCTCCTTTCCCTGGGCCTTGTCACTTAGCAGCTTCAGGTTGTAATTCTTGGTCTCCCGCGTCCGCAAGGAGCGGTTCGGCGTGAGTTCTCCATCCTGTTGGTCATCCTCGTCGTCGTCGCGGTTGTTGTCCTCATTGACGTGCCCATTTCGCTGGTCGATGGCATGCCTAGCGGCGTCGTCGTCCTCTTGCGCAGCCTGCTTCCTGCCCGGAGAGGCCGTCCCCTCGACGATGATAGACGGCTCGACGCCTTTCTCCAGCGGCCTGATGGCGCTTGCCTCGTAACCTGTACTCCATCGCGCGTCAACGTCGATGAGGTAATCGGTGCGTATCCCGTGCCCGTGCCCGTGCCCGTTGCCCTGGGAATGGGAATGGGAATGGGATTTCCGCAGTGTCAGGGGGGCCATGGACCGGGTCCTGCCGAAGATGTGTGCTACTTCCCCCGCCAACGTCCAATTCTCAGTGCCGTTCGAGGCGCGTGGAGAGGGGAGGCCGGGTTCGGAGAGAGGAAGGGATCCCAGAGGGGGCCAGGCGCCCGGGCCGACGGGTTCCAGCTCAACAGTGATCTTGTAGGAATCAGCCAAGTCGAAGAGGTGGTTGTCGGTGCGGTTGACGAGGATGCTGTCCTCTGGAATGTGGAAGGGCCGGGTGAGGTAAATGCGGGCCATGGGAAAGGGGCCGGCAGGGCTTTGGAAGGTCTTGATGGTGCAGATCTGACTCTGGCAATGGAGCATGACATGGTCGCTCTCGCTCTCGCTCTCGCTCTCACCGCCGGCCTTGGTGCCGCCGTGGGTGAGCATGATCTTGCATCGGGCTTTGGTTTCCTGGACATTACGAGGGGCGGCGGTCGAGTCGTTTACGGCGTTGCCAACCTTGACCTTGGCCAGGTCCTTGTGAACGATCTTCAAGACATGGACGCGAAGAGTGCGCTGGATGGACCCTACCTCGTGAGCGACGAAGAGCTGGTCGGCGAGAGAGTGGTCCTTCTCCTTCGGCACACCATTGGGGGGAGCACGTCCCGCGGCGGTGGCGGTGGTGGCGGCGGCGGCGGCGGCAGGGCCGAGTCGACGACGCTTCTGAGGTCGGCCATCGAGGTCAAGGGAGACGGGCTCATGAAGCTTGGCATTGCCAGCAAGCTTGGAGGGTGACGAGACGGCGTTGCCCATGGTCTGAGAGGATTCAAAGCCACGAGTCCAGTTCCTCTGCAGAAAAGGTAGGTTGCGCTTGCACCGGCTGGCAATCGGCATAGCTGAAGGTGGAGGACGGGGTTTTCAGGTCCGTCCTTGGGAGAGTCGATGGAGTGACATGTCCCTGCAAAACAAAACAAGCAGAAACGCGTAAGACGAAGTCTCTGGCATGTCAGGTCTAGGAACGGCGCACAGGAGACCCAGGGCTATTGACCACGAAAAATCAAGTCGAATTCAAGTCAAAGGTAGCCAGCACCTCTGGAAGGGTTGGGATAGATCGAACCGACGGCGTTCCTGATGCCTCCCCCCTACCTACCTAGCAGAGCGAACGCAGGCAGAGGAGGGGAAGATGGATGAGACGGGGTATGAGAAAGGTGTAAAGAGGCCGAACGAAGTAGGTCAAGAGAATAGGCTGTAGCGGTGATGTGGTGTGATGTGATATAACGCGGCTTTGACTCTAGTTGACATAAAGACCAAGAATTCATCAGCTCAATGATGAAGTGGGATGGCGGCACTTGGAGGGTGCTGTTCGTTTGAGATGTCTCCCAGATTTTGTTGAATTTCCTTTCTTCTTTCTGTTGTCTTATTGTTCTGTGCGATGGATTGTCAGTGAAAACGAGGGAATAGAAAAGAAGGAAAAGAAACAGAAGAGGGAAAAAGACAAAATGGGTGTAGCAGAAGTGGCCGTGTTGGGCCGACAGAGAAGGGGGGTCACTGTAGGGGACGCAGGACGCAGGACGCGTGCCGCGATAATTAGCAGGGAGGATATAAGGCCTGTCGTGATGAGACGGGAAAAGCACGACCCACCACGGTTAAATTTTGTAAGGGTTTATTAAGGGCTTGGCACATAGGACTTCTTATGTATACTTATTATTAGTCATGTATTTCTGGGCGTCGGCTTACTAAGGTACTTACCTAGGTAGCCATTCAAAAGCTGACGTTAACTTTATTTGGCCTGCGGGGATGGCTGGGGCTAGCCAAAACAGGTATTAGCTCAGATTCCAGTTTGATGGGTTTATACGGTATGGCTGACGCCCCCTTTTATGTCCTGAATAGTGAGACCACATGTCATCACGAGCCAGCCCAGTGTGAAAGTTATCGCCTCCCTCAGAGTTCAAAAGGCTCACACTTTTAAAATCCCAGTTCAAAAGTCTCTGACCTTTCTCTCATTCCTCTTAGTCTTGTTCTGTTTTCAGGTATAAAAAAAAATCTCTTCTTTTCACTCCCTTCACATCTTGCCTTTTTAATAGGTCAGGTACCCTTATTCAATCCCACTTGTTACCTTACTCGGCCGAGCATTTGAAGCTCCGGAATCCCTTAATTTAGATATCTTTTAGTTTCAACAGCCACGGGTTACTTCACTGCTCCTTCTGTTCTAGAGTCTTGCAGTCACGGCCCGAGAAGGAAGGAAGTAAAGTAAAAGAAAGAAAAAGAAAAGAGAAGAAAAGAACGTGGGGAAAAAAAATTGAACTCTTCCAAGGTTCTCTTCTCGCCTACCCAAAACAAAGTCCAAAGTATTGAGATCACTTGTTGGCCCTTCAAGACATCAACATCAGTGACCAGGGAAATCTGCAACAGGATCTGCAACAGGATCTGCAACCAACCAAAGGACAGGTTTCTGCAGCTGCAAAGAGTTGCACATGCTTTTCTGGGGATAGAGAAAGACGGCCCAGAGAATCATCAGCTTCCCCTCACAGAATCACGTGCTTTACCACATTTCGTCTGCATATGTTGTAGTACGTCATTTCCCCCAGCAAAGGTGGCGTGGCTGTGACAGGTGTGGCTGCCTAAGGTACACAACCACGTGATTCACCTACCTTTTCATGGAACTGGCTGACACCACGTGATCTCCATGCAGTACTACTCTGCATGCCCATGCCCTCGCACCCCTCAATTTGGAGATTAGCTTGAGGGTCTGTTGACCGGGGGAGTCGATACCATGGCACCGAGTCGGAAGCCGCTCAAGGGCCGAACCAGGACTGGCACCGACGAATATTCATCGAATCGTCGCAATACTCTCCGCCATGCGAAGAAGACACTTGAGGATAAGCCGTCGTCGCAAACCCCCAATATCTACAGCGGCACCACGACCCGCTCCCGCTCCTTGCGCGGCTTCCAGAATAGTAATCGCCCACAGCCTGGGCCGCTGACGGAGCCGGACCCGAGCCCGAACCCGAGCCCGAACCCGAACCCAACCCCAACCCCAAACCCAAACCCGGATTCGAACCCGAAACCCACCCTGACTGGGCCCACGTATGCCCCCAGACCCGCCAAAGTCGCCGCGCCTCCGAAGCGCAGACGTGCATGGCGCCAACGTGACTATGTCCTGGACGACGACTCCGTCGACTCGGACGAAGTCTTACTGAACAAAAGGAGAACACGACAGGTTTTCAAGCTGCAAGATGACGAGGTCCGTGAGAGGGAGGTGCTCCCTCACGAGTGGCGACCCATGGATTCCAGTGATGAAGACGACGACCACGATGAGGATGATGACAACCACGGCAGGGCCGTCTTGCAACCTCCGAGCTCACCGGATACCGTCTTCTCGTCGACTCCACCCAAGCATAGGCGCAAAGCCGCTCGCCGTTCCGAGTCGGCCGTCGTCAAGCTGAGCGCCCTTCTTCACCAACAACAAGACGAGGTCGGGCCCCCGTCCGAAGGGACCGAGCCGAGTCCAGTGATCCCCGATTGGATGGATCTGCGCATAGAACACTCCATATGGGTCCAGATCTTCGAGTATGCCGCCGTCCACCCCGGCCAAAATCTCATCAGGACCCAGTGGCTGCTGCAGACCGCCCTCGTCTGCAGGGCCTTCTTGGATCCTGCCCTTACCGTCCTGTACCGGTGCCCTCCCTTGACCTCGGATACCAGGTTGCAGCGCCTGAACCTTTTGCTCTCGACGTGCCCCTCGCAGACTAGGCTCAACTACCGAGCCAAGATCAGGTCGCTCCACATCGATGTCACCAAGACCCATCTCCGCGAAGGTTTGGCCGATCCTGGCCTCCTCATCCGAAACCTCACCAACCTATCCGAGGTTCGGCTGGTGCACCCGTACGACGAACCCCCCTACCGTAACTTGACGGACCATATTCGCTTCGACTACCCGGCGCCTCTCTTCCACGCCCTGGACGTGGCGAGGGAGGACGACAAGCGCCGCCCCACGCGCCTGAAGTCCTGGCAGTGGAACGCCAGGATGATGAAGCAAGGATTCGTCCGCAGCCTGGCCGCGGTGCGGGAGTTACACCTGACGCCCGCCTTCGCCGAGCTGCGCACCATTCACTTCGTCAACTACCAGCTACCTTCCTGGGAGCGTCACAGGAAGCCCCCCGCCGCCGACGACTCGGCCCAGATCGCCGCCGATGAGATGTACGCGCGCGAGCTCGCCGGCTGCCTGGCCGTCCTGGGACATTTGGAGGATCTCACCTTTGAGAGTTCGAGCGTGGTCGGTCCGCCGTTGCTTGACCTGCTTCCCAGCCGGCTGAAGCGCGTCCAGTTCACCAACTGCTGGCTCCTCGACTCACAGGACCTTGCCGCCTATCTCACGTCCCACGGCCAGAACCTGGAATCCCTCACTCTGAACCACAACCATTCCCTCGACCTCGCTTTCCTTCCGCTTCTAGGCCCCACCTGTCCGAATCTGAAAGAGCTGCGGATGAACATGAGGTACTTCCGAGAACACGATTCCTGGGGCGACGCGGCCCCCAACTACGAGCACCTGCTGCTTCCCGACCAGGTCCCCAAGTGGCCCCCGTCTCTGCAGCTGGTCGACTTGGACAGTCTCCGGCGGTGGACCCCGCACGTGGCCGAGATGTTCTTCCAATCCTTCATCGACAGCGCCCCCGCGCTGCCCATGCTGCGCCACCTGTCGCTCAAGTGCATGCTGAACATCCCCTGGCGCCAGCGAAGCGCCATGCGGCAAGAGTGGCAGGAGAGGCTGGAGGCCATCTTCCTCCGGCCCTACGAGCCGCCCGAGGAGCACTACACGCTCCGCGCCGCCCTCGCGCCCCCTCCCGCCTTCGGACAGGTCGCCAAGCCCAAGACCAAGAAGGCGGCCGCAACCCGACCGTCGCGCCAGAGTGTCCGGATCGCAACCCTGCAGGGGGACTCGCCCTCGCGAGCTGGTGCTGCGGGGAAGAACCTGCGTTCCCTCGGCCGCACCCTGTACGAAGAGCCGGACAGCGACGAGTTTGATGTCGAGATGGCCGAAGAACAGGATGCTGATGGCGGCGGTGGTGGTGGTGAATCGGAAGCCGACGGCAGCGGGACCGGAGAAGAACCCCGCCGTTCCTTCTTCGTACAGGGCCTTTGCAACGTCGTCAGTCTCAAGCTCGACAACCAGAAGCCCAGGGAGCAGCAGTGGCAGATGGCGGACTTTGTCGATTCGACGGATGATGCCAGTGACCCGGAGTGGCCTGGCACCGAAGACGACGAGGAGTAGATGCCCCAGGTCTCGGCTCGTGAACAACCGACAGGGTACTTGGCTGGTCTCCTTGTGGCAGATTCTTTTTGCTTCTTTTCCTTCCTCCCCCCCTGTTCGTTCTCTTCCCTTTTGTCTATACAGTCCTTCCCTCTCTTTTTCTTTCTTATTTCTTCCATGTCTTGATATGGCGTCATTGGCAGAATGGCTTCGGGTAAAGGGGCACGGGAAAGGAGCGTCTTTTCTCTTTTCTTCTTTTCTTCCTCGGTTTTTCCTTTCTTATCCTTCTCTTTCCTGTTGACGATAGCACGAGGAATGGGGGAACAAGGCGTTCTAGGTCTCATTACGGCTATGGAACGACTGGTAGGAGGCTCGGCAGCGATTGAGGAAATTCTCACAAGGCCTAGGCGTTCGGAAATCGCTGTTGCTGTGTCCTTGTACCACCATGGCTTCGGGAGGCCAGTGTTCAGAGCTCTCTGCCGGTTGTGGCAGTGTCGTCTGTTGGCCAAAATGGTATTCTGGCGCTGCGCTGCCATGGATGAAATGACTCGGCAGGCTCCATCACTGAGTTTGGTTGTTTATAGAAAAGTCAGACCGCGGTGTCTGTCTAATGAATAGACAAAACTCGCTTTTTCGCACTTCATGGGCATTGCAATATCCTTTAGGGGGGGGGGGGTTTCCTTTTTCCCCCTTTCCCCCCCTTTTTTTCGTCTATTTCAACGGCGTCCCGAACCCTGGCTGAGCGGCATCCGCTCCCACCAAAACCGGCATTGCGCAATCTCACTCCTCGTCAACGTCCTCACACGAGCCACGACCCCTTCGCTCTCCCCTCCAGCCCTCTCGTCGTTCCCCTCGCCAAATACAAGGATCTTACCGGCGTCAGGTCCGCTGTTATCGTCAAAGGGAGACACAAACCGAGGCCACGCCGGGACATCGCCATCACCCTCCTGCCGGTCGTCCGTACCGAGAAGGAGACGATTCGGGTCCCCGCAACGCGAAGCAACAAACCGCGAGAAAAACCCATGCATGCCCTCCGAGACGCGGACGAGGCCAGGGAAGCCCCCCAGGGCCTCCATGTCGCGAGCCACGACGGGCCCTTCGTCCCCGTGGTTCGCGGCCGCGAAGGGCTCGGCGCGGGCAGCGTACTCGTAGACGTAGACGGGCTGCCCCGCCGCCGCAACGTGGTGGGCCGTGTGCAGGACGGGGGCGATGTAAGCGTGGTGCGCGTACGCGGTGGCGAGGCGGGCCCACTGCGCGCCGCAGTACGCGGGGACGGCCGGGGTGTAGGGCTCCCCTCGCGCGGCGGCGGCTACGTCGGGTTGCGGGTACAGGCGGTCGAGCTCGTCGAGGTCGGAAGGTGTGAGCGCCGGGAGGAGGGTCTGGAAGAAGGCGCGGAAGGCGGCGGGCGAGGAGACTTTGATGGGTACGAAGGTGGTGCCTTCGTGCGAGTTGAAGCCCGTGATGAGCGGTGGGCGGAGGCCGAGGCCGGATGACCAGAGGCGCAGGGGGAGGTCCGGAATCACGCCGCCTATGCCGTCGATGGAGGGCTGGAAGGGCCAGCAGACAGAAGAGGCGAAGCGACCCCAAACGGACGAACCTGCGTCGAGCAGGGTGGACAAGGGCAACGAGCGGAGGTGAGAAAGAATGGCATCATCCGGAGTGGATGGGGGGAAGCCGGCGTCTCTAAGGAAACTCTGGAACTGAAGTTCGTGACGAGAGTGATCTGGAGAGAGCACAGAGCGAGCTGTTGCAGAGCCGGATTCGAGGATGGCTTTGTGGAAGAGAGGTGTCGTGGTCGATTCCGAGGAGAGTATATGATGGCCAATCTAAAGGGGGGTAGTAGTATTAGAAAAGGGGGGCAATGGGAGAGCAGTAGAATCTTCTCTCTCTCTCTCTCTCTCTCTCTCTCTCCCTTTTTCGTCGACAGAGCTTGAGGACTCGAAGGAAAAGAGGAGCGTAACAAAAACAAAAGAAAGGGGCATATTTGTCCCATAACGTACCGAGTGAGCACCAGCACTGACACCCATAAGAGTAACACATCCCTCATCTCCACCAAAAGCAACCACGTTATCCCGAACCCATTCGAGCAGCATCCTCTGATCACGCAGACCCAGGTTCAACACACCCTCTTTGTCGCAGACCCGACTCGGCAGGAATCCCAGGGGCCCAAGACGCCAGTTAAAGCTGATACCAAGAACGGGCTGCTCAGCATAGGCAACGAAGCTGGCCATGTCGCGGTCGGCGCCCTTGCCAAAGTTGAAGGCCCCGCCATGGAAGAAGACGACCACAGGCAGGCGCTCGGAGGGAGACCACGAGGAGGAGGAGGGACAAGGTCGAATGAGGTTCACGCTAAGACAGTCCTCACCTACAACCCAGCCGTCCTCCTCGTCGAGGCTGCTGGTAAAGGTGGGACAGATGCTTCCGTAGGTGTTCGCCTCAAAGGTGTCGAGGCTGGCCGGCACCGGGGCGGCGTCTCGGAATCGTCCTTCGGCCCCCGGGAGGACGCGGGCGTAGGGGATGCCCAGGAAGGCCTCGACAGGCCGCGGGAGGTCGTCCCGCGAGAGAACGGTGCCCCAGTATGTGCCTTGAGGGAGACGGACCGTGGGCCTGGTCGTCATTTTTTATGTCGACGATGTCTTCACTCTCCCCTTCTTCTGACAAGAACGTTAGTGTATCTATTTATTCGAAGGATATGAGCCAACACCGATTTATGCTGGGTAATCTATCCCCGTCACAGGAGAGTTATGAATATTTCCTGTACTCCCATGACGTTGATCGGAAGAGCAGAGAATTACCTTCCGCTTACGGACAGAAGGAGTTCAACGGAGAAAAGACGTGCGGGGGTCATTCCACGAAGTACAGCACCTAGGTAATTACCTTGCAGAGTACATGTACGGATATTGCCTCACTCACCTCAGATCCCGTGTACCTACAAAGTACGGAGTACCGAGACGGAGTACGGAGTAGACGCTGTGATCACGGAAGAAAAGATACCCGGACAGACCCCTATTCAGAGACGGGGAATATTGACCAGTTTAACTAAGGTACCTTACATAATACAAGGTACCTTACTAATGATAATATAATAAGGTAATGTCGAATGCTCAGCCTCACACAACATAATAACGAACACTAAACTAACGAACACCGATCCCCAAAACTCCCTCCAGAGCTGGATCGCCTAATAACTGAACAACGCCAACTCCGTAAACGTACCTGTTGTTTTGTGTGGCGACTCTGGGAAGGGAAAGAGGCAATACAAAACCCCCCGGAAGTAAGACATAGTAACACAACATTTCCCAGGAACGCCTCCCTCTGTCAATCACCACCATCACCATGCAGGCTCCGACAATGACGCCGTCGACGCCGACGACATCTGCTGCTTTCGACGCTGCTTCTCTGCCCATTCGCGGCTGGCTTGCCTGGACCGCTCCGCCGCTTCCTCTCGCGCCTTCTTGGCCGCCTCTTCGCGCTGCCGCCGCTCCCTCTCCCGCTGCTCCGCATACGAATTGTCTTGCTCGTAAATTTCCCTGCCCCGTTGCCTCTGTTTCTGCGCGTCTTCTGCCGACACCGTGCTCCGTTTTCCGCTGGTGCTGCCCGTCGATTCCGAAGTGCCCCGACTCGTCCGCGATCCTTGCATCTCCCCCACCGCCGTCCTTGCCGTCGCCCGGCCGCGGGAAACCGAAGACGTGGCTGACAGAGAGGACGTACTAGCCGACTTGGCCAGCGCAGGTCGAGACGACCCAGGTACCACCATTGAGGCTCTCTTCGACGTATTGGTCGTGCTTTTGGCCGTAGACGTGGACGTGGCCTTGGATGGCGATGTGGTCGTCGCCGGGGGCGTCGTCTCCTCCGACGTGGCCTTTAGCCGACGAGCCCGGCTCGCTGCCGTCTCGCGAGGGTATGTAGCCGACGCAGCACCGGCCCGAATTGGCTGTGCTCGAAACTCGCGCCGCTTCTTCTCCGACTCCTCTTTCTCCTTGAGTTCCTTCTCACGCTGCTCCCGTTTCCGTCTCGATATCGCTTCGCCCGGCAGCTCGAAATGGGGCCGCGTTGGTGCCTTGGTCGACTTGGCTCGTTGTCGTGGCGGAACAGTGGTCGCTGGTGCATCGCTGTGGGAGCTTATCTGGAGTGAGCGCCGAGCCTCACGTTGTTCCTTCAGTCGTCGAGCCACGGCCTCCCCGGGCAGCTCAAAGCTCGGTCTGGTGGGGGGCTTCGCCGACTTGGCCGGAACCTTTGGTGGCAACAGGCTGGATGGACGAGTCACGGTAGGCTTCTGGCCTGCACGTTCTGCCGGACCCTGTGCCGTCGTCGTGGCAGGCTCCGCTTTGTCTTCCCTGTCGCTAAAAGTCACCGAGGCTGACTTCTGCAGCGACGGCCGCGTCGTCGTGGCTTTCACTCCAACTGTCGCTGCCTTCGCCACCGATGGTGAACTTCTCAGTGTATTCTTGGACGATGGAGAAGCTCTCATCTCGTCCGACTCTACCTGTATCCGGGACCCGGTATTCTTCCTCTTCTTCTCCTCAGGAGAGATGAACTGCCCAAGCCGGGTGGCCGCATCGAGAGCTTCGAGGTCATCCTCGAGCTTATCCAGCGCCTCCACCGAGTCCTCGATGCGCGCTGGAGACGAGCTGATCGAGGTAGAACGTGCCGAAGAATGGTCCAAAGAAGGTCCCCTGCTTTCACCCGTCGAGGTTGAACAAGCCCCGGCGTGTCGACCCTCGACCACAGACCACGAAGACGACGATGAGGAGTCGACCAAAGTCGCGGTGGAAGTGCCACTGGTCATCATTACATCGACTACCTCGCCACCCGTGCCGATGTTGTTCTCCGCAGGCGGGGATAGGACGCGAACAATGGGCTCTGCAATCGCCATATTGTGGTCGTAGGTTGAGATGCGCGATGAGTCTTGGTCTTGGCTTTCGTCGGCAAGGTATGTCGCTAGCAGAGTATAGACGTTGGTGAGACGACCCTCGCAGTAAACTCCTCTTCCCAGGTGCTTCTTCTCTACCAGTAGGTTACAGCCATAGTGAGCGATGCCCCCGTCTCCTGGACTGGAATTGGGGCGGTCGTATGGCACGTTGAGGATGTAGTCGAAGCGACCGGTCTGGTGCTTGGCGATGGAGGCGCGGATGTGAGGATCGTTGGCTAGGCGGCTGTTGTGATACCCGGTTGCGCGAAGGACTGAACCCCGGTGTGAGGGACAATGTTAGTCACTGTCACTGTCGTTCTTCTTTCACGTACAATTTTGGCAAGCTGCGGCAGATGTGAAATGGGCAAGAAAAGAAGAAAAAAAAAAGGGGG